AATACACCACCGATGCCACGGAAATTTTTGACCTGTAATCTTCCTCTTATGTTACATCTCGCTATATAATTCCAGAAAAAATCTCGTTACAAAAATTCTTGTATTCTCGAACCACGGACCCTTTAATTACAACGCCGGTGCCTTACGTCTAGACCAACAGAACACCTGTGCTACCGCTTTCTGCGATTCTCCTCATATTCTACGACTTGGTTTATAGCTGCAGAAAAATCGCTAGGGTCGCTCCCACTTCATGTGTTCGCACCTGTCACGTTTTTAATGATTGCTGTAGGATATTAAAGATGTAACATCTTAACCAAATTTCGTGAGAACCTGTTAATTGGTTCAAGAGTCGGAACTCACATACGCAAACAACATTGCAATCTCGTAAATATTGTTTCTTTTAGAACGATGGAAATTGATGAAGGAAAGAGTGGAAGATCTAAGAAAAATCGGAAGAGGGGGAGGTAAACGAAAGAAATGAAAGAGGGCGATGCAAAAATAGGAAAGACGAATAGAAAAAATAATTCTAGAAAAATCTCTTTACTAAAATTCTTGTATTCTCGAACCACGGACCTTTTAATTACAACGCCGGTTCCTTACCTCCAGACCACCAGACAGTATGCTACAAATTTCTGCGATCCTCCTCACATTCTACGACTTGGTTTATACCTGCAGGAAAATTGTATTTATTCGTTCACTTTTCAATTTCTATTGACAAAAGACACAGCGGTCTCGAACCCGGTACCTTCCCAATACTACGCCAATGTTTTACCCACGTACCCCCAGATCTAGACAAATTTGTTACTTTCTCCTTCCTCATATATCATATAGTACGACTAGCTTCCTACATGCACAAATTTCTTAAATATTTCTTCTCACGAATATAGTCATGTCTTCGAACCACGTATCATCTAAACCATACGCCAGTGCCTTACCAAAGGACCGCCATGGTTATGACAACTATTCGCCTTCGTCTTCCACATATCCTACCGCTTCGTTTCTACAAAATTTCTCTTTACTACTTGCTTCGTTTCAAAGTCAATTTACGACTGACGGTTGGCCAGTCACTTTCTCTTAATTTAGAGCTCATTCAGACGCTCTTGACCAGATCTTAGTCTTGAAGTAGCTTCACTGTTTGGCCTTTATTAGGAATCTTTTCTGATAAGACGGATCTATCTCTTCTCACAGTCAATTAGTTTCTATATTTCGTCCTTCCTCCTTTAAACTGCATGTCACGACCTTTACAACTATACATACTACATACTGCACACGTCCTTTTTGGCACTACGTATAAGCCCCCTATCAGTCCACAACAGATTCTGCATTATTTTCATTAGCTCACACTAGACCGGCAATTTAGTCACCTCAACGATCAGAAGCTTGGCCGCCGCAAAATTTAAGCTTCGTGTTATCCAGTATTCCGAACATTTGCTTCTTCACGATCTTCTGTGCCTTCAGGTTGCTGGCCGTTCTGCGCCTTGCGATAGTGCTGCTGTTGCGGAGAACCCTGATTTCTAAGCGCTGCACTTTCGAAACGTGGGTATTTGCCGCAAATCTCAAGGCAAGCATACGGCATTGCAGACATGTTCAGAACGTATTTGAGGCGTTACTTATAAGCCTTCCTTACTCAGCCTACATCACATAGATATGCAACAGTTCCCAAACCCCACTTCCCTAAATACAAAATTAATATTCGCCATGGTAAAGTGTATCCACAGTCACTATCATTGGCATTTAATTTGCAATTTCTCCTCCCCCATATTTTCACACCATCTCATTTTCGAGTACCTTTGGACTTAGATACTTCTTGTGAAGCACTCTGTTCCTTAAGAGGAACGTATGTTTTTGCATATAATTTCACATAATTTAATTACTAGTCTAATGCTGAAGGTGTTGAAGCTGAATATAAGTTTCTCACTTCTGGTGCAGGCTGACAGATACTAAGGCACATAACGTTTCTTTGTCATCTTGTAAGCATTAGACTGGACACTGCGTCCATACTGCAGCACACAAACCATCATAAAATTGTTTCAAATCTATCCTACGACTGGCAGAGTATCAGTTAATGTACTAGATCCCACGGTCCACACCCTTACGGAATCACGCATCTACGTATATTTAAGTACTTGAGACCAAGCGAATTCAGCACGAGTTAACATGTCTGAAATTAAAAATGTGACAAATTACGCACATGTGAGGAACTAGGATAGAAAAGGAGGTACAAATTTTTCCTACAAACCTAGCTAACAAAAGTACATGAGCACCAATGCATAGAAATAGAAACAATTTTGTGAAGACATGTGGAATCTAAAAATAGCGCAATCTGTGGAGTAAAACGTGAACACTCCAAACTGAAACCTCATGGAAACACATGAAGAGGAGTAGTTAAAAATGTAATACCTCAGAATTGCTAATCTTTGAGCTGTGGTCTTGAACATGGACTATCCACAATATGAAGGAGTGCTGATCACTAAACCATAACATTTGCTGAAAAATATAGAAAAACAGGACTTACCTCTAAGTGATATCTCTTGTTCATATCATGTGCAGGTTTGGAATATACAGTTCCATCAGCCTCAGGAAACTGAAAGAGGATAGACATGCAACAGAGGCATGATTTAGGATGGTTATATACAGTACGTGCTTGTTTCCTCATTCTTCAAACATTACAAAATGTTAAGGTTCCTTGTTGATTTAAATTTCATTGTCGCAAATACATTCATTATAAAACAATTCAGAATTAAGTTTTCTTTAATATAACTGACATGTAGGAATCCAGCTTTGACATGGTTAATTCCTATGGAGATTTTATTTGTGTTAAGTATAAAGAGATTTTATATACAGCTTCCCAAGTATGGCCATTGCTATAGATAACCAGTACATACAGTTTTGTTTATCTCATAAACAAAAGTTTGAATATATGTAATTTTGATTGAACTGTAAAGACCATGATTCAAGAGTATGTTGTTTACGTATTTATCACATTATCATAAATAAAATTTGATTTGGAGTTAAGTTCATTTCACAGCATCCGTAATGGAATGAATCTTGAATTGGGAAAATAAAAATATTCATTTAGTCTGCTTCCCGATTAACCTTCTAGTACAACACCAAGAACAGAGACTAAAATTTATGAATTATACTAAATTACAATACAAAAAATATACATAAAGTACATGGAAATGACATGTAAAATATATGAAACTAAATAACTATTAAAGAATTCATCACAGTTAGTCAATAAGTCATATTAACTGGCAACATACCTAGTTCATACAAGTAATGCATGAACTTGAAACATGCCTATGTAACTGCAAAGAATGACAAGGATATAATACCTGAATCTATGACTCTGTTGTGTTGAAAACTTTTATTATGAAGTAATTCTGGGAAGTTATAATGTCATCAAACAAGATCACAAATGTTCATCAAGAGCATCAGTCACATTTTGTTACNGTGGTTTCCATAACTAGGCAGGACTGCGTGTTCCAAATATTTATATATATATATATATATATAGCCACATGCAGGAAAATGAAATGGGAATGGAAAATGTTCTGGATATATGGAACACATGTTTCATCAACAATACACTGTGCATCTTCAATTTCTCAAATAAATTTCAATGATTGGCTTCTCAATCTTTTAATTATTTACAATCTGTAAATTTTGTACAGTTTCAAATGTTAAAGATGTGAAGAAATGTTACACACTAAAACTTCCATAATTTTATACAACTTTATACTAAGCTGTAAGCACAGAAATTCATGACCTTAAAGAGATATTGGCAAAAAATTTTATTCCTATGTACTGAACACTCCTAGGAATAAAATATGGGGGGAAAATTCTGATTATAAAACTTCCAGCATTCACAATCATGTATTATGAACTACATCATTTTCAAAAACCATGATTGATTTCAATGAAGTTTCAAAAACAGTCTTAGTATGGCAGTTGGCAATATCCAAAGCTTTAATATTGGTAACAAACTGCCTGATTATACATGAAGATTAACTGAGAGCCTGGTGAAACTTATTCAGGTGGTCTCACAACAGGGACACGTTACTTACATCAACTCACACCATGTGCGTTCACTTTTGCAGCATAACCAACATGCTAACAGACTATAAGCCCCATGTGGAGACAGGTTATAATACCTCCAACATCGCCCTGTGATTCATAGAAGGCAATGAAAAGGGAACCCCTAGGCTGGGGGCATAATTGGGCCACCCTGTCACTGGGGAGCATAAATACAGAGACCTGGTCCTTCAGGTTTGGGGTTGGAAGCAAGGCTAATGACCGTGAACTGCAAAAATATTACTGCTTCAAAATCCAAAAAGTGTAAACCAGATGATCTAATTAATGACGGAATAGACAAATCTGGAACAAACATCTAAGGTAGGCTATAGCTCAAAAAGGGCTCTTTTACTGTTGCTGCTGCTGATGATGATTAGCCTATACACATTAAGATTTCTCTTCAACATCACCCCAATAAATCTTTCAACAGCTACCATGAAACAAGCTTGCTTCAACTCACACCATGCATGTTCAGTTTCATAGCATAATCAACATCCTAATAGCCTGTATACATTACGATTTTTCTTCAATGTCACGCAAATAAATTTCTGAACAGCTACCATCACGCAAGGGCCTACTGACAGTAATCAGCAACACTTGCTACCACATAAAACATTCTATCAGTCATGTCACTTCCTGTAGTTGAAATGACTTGTGAGAATTACACATTGATTTGAGTGTTGACGTACAATAAAGATAAAGCTATCCCTGTGACAGGCCTTAAAGGCCCATAGGGTTGTGGGACGTCAAGGCTCCCACATTTTCTAGGCAACTTACTCACAGATGATGGTAAGGTTGTGAGCCTTGCTCACCAGCCACCATTTATGCCCCAGGATCATTCCTGGTACTCATTTCTGTTAGAGGCTGAGTCAACCCCAGGGCCATAGTGCGGCTGGAAGGATTAGGTAAAATGAAAAAATCCACCCCATCAGGACTCGAACCCGCTACCTTCCAGCTTGTAGCACAGTGCCTCAACCAACTGCGCTACTGCATGCCCCTTCATGTACAATATCCCTGAGAAAAGCAAAGATAGGTTTACATATAAAATTCAAGATATTATAGTTCCAAACACAAAGAACTATTCCCAAGATCATAAATAAATTTGGTCTGACAAAGTTGTTACTGGACAAAAAAAAATGGACCAAAATGGCAATTACTCACTAAAGACAAACTAGATGAAATCTGTGCTAGGCTTGCACATTCCCTCAAAAATTCCTTAAGATGCCCTGCACAGGAAATGGGTATTTAACCTTTTAGGTTTCAAGCTTTCTCTACTTCCAAAACAGCACTTTGATGTCTGAATACAAACTTTCTACAGAGGTGCAAAGAACACATGCATAACAACAGGGACCATTTCTGGCATCTGCTGCAATCTAGGAAGGTTCTGTTTGTGATTTGGGGTTCATGATGCATGGAAAGAGCTGATGTGAGAAGCCTGTCCCTCTTCTGCTAGACTGGCAGAATGATTTGTGGCATGCTCTGAAATAACCTCCATGTAGATGGAAGTCTTCTTTGTGTGAACCCTTGAACACTTCAGGGTCCTTTGGGCTTAGTTTACATTTCTGATCCATCACTTTTGAGTACACTGTCCAAATTACATTCACGAAATGAGTACATCTGATGTGCTTTTAGAAAAGGAAAGAAATGACTGAAGAATTCAGTCTACATTTCTACTAAAACTTGGCAATTCTGGAGTAACTACAGGCCCCACAAAATACTGTTGCTTCATTTCACCTGGCCCATCTGAAGATCTTGCAATTATAGTTTTCTGACCCTCGCATTGCTCCATTTCCAGTCTCTTCATACGAGGAGTCACTTCAGACTACTACATGACATAATAATGAAACTGCTGGCACATTATATCTGCAGAATCAATTTGTTAAAAGGTTAATTTTTAACAGAGTAAGCACTATTTTCAGAAACTAAAAAAATGAAGTTGTAGTCAATACTACTCTGCATCACAACCCCAATTGTAAATGACTCCATATTTCGCACACGTCTGAAGTAGTAGCACCACTCTCTACCATCCGCACGCACAAACACACACTTCTTACTTCCAGTGCTGAAGACCTCAAAGAGGAGACTTCAATCCTACATCATGTCTGTAGCACCTTCACTTCTTCCAGCTGAAACAACAGACAAATACATCCAGGAATGGGGAAATAGAATTTCAAGAACCAAGGAAGAGTGTTTGTATCAATATTCAATATTTATGTTATTTTCAAATTGTGTACAAATCTTCATGCACACATTCTCATAATTAAGCACAGTTTATGGTCATAAACCAAGAAGGAAATATCAGATATTTTTGAAAAAGTAACAGCAGCATGTCTAACATATCAGGGTGGCTGCACATATAGTTGCAATATAATTCCCCCACACCATGCAAAGGAAGTGATCTAGTAAATGCACCCACATCATACAATTCCACAATGAAAAACGTATTATTCAAGTGACTCCCATTTTATAAGTGGAGATGGGTTCCTGCAAAAGTCTTTTTGGTCAACATTTATAATAAAACACACCACTTTATTCGTCAACACTTTATCTACAATTTTTTTAATGGAAGCTAATAATTTTATGCCCAATAATTCTGAACTGGAAATTAACAGAAATAATTCACGCAATATACAGAGTGTCCCAGGTCTTTGGTGCCATACTTCAGGAGCGTACTGACAGTTCCTTATAGAACTTTGAAATAGGAACCCATGTCCGCAAATGTAAAATATCAGCATTAGGGCGGAACTTAATATCATTTTGTTTAAACTTGGCGCCTCAATGTCTAAGAGCATGCACAGGCATATTACCCCCTCCAAATTCTTAAGACTCACACTTTATTTTGATGTCCCCACAATCTAGGCAATAGCACGAGTGCTTGCTGGTGGATGGCTGTTCCTCTATGGAATACAGTTCAACAATGAGGCGCCAAGTTTAAACAAAATGATTTTAAATGTCGCCCTAGTGCTGCTATTTTACGTTTGCAGACATGGGTTCCTATTTCAAAGTTATTCTATAGGGAACCCTCAGTACGCTCCTGAAGTACAGCACCAAACTCCTGTGACACCCTGTATATGAGCACTGACATAACCACTCCTGCTGTTGTATCATTTTAGCAGGGAGTTTGAGCTTCTAAGGCTGCAATTTAACAAAGCCTGTTTCTAACACGTGAATCCTGTGAAATTTTTAAACAGTGAATTCCCAGTGAAACAGAATTTACTAAACACTTATTTTAATAAAGTACTCAAAATTTCCTCTAACATTCTCCACTTTCCACTTGTGTTGTTTAATGACTACATATTGGAACATAGAAGGAAATACCACCTTGAGTATCCACCCCCTGGTGGCTCGGTCAGTCGTTGCGGCTGTGGCCGGACTTCTTACCCAAGGCCCTCTCCCTCTCGATAGACTGCGCTGAACGAGAGCTTGAAGATGACTGCCTCCTACGATGAGATCTCTTGCTTGGGGCTAATGAGCTTGACCTGGAACGGGAGTATCTTCCTTTCTTGCTTCCTCGATGACCCTCATGCCTCTTAGACATGGATGGAGAACTAGAGCCTGATGAGTGCTGTTTCAGTCTCTTGTTTTTTCCAAGCTTTTTGTTCTTTCTGCTAACTGGCGAGCAACTCTCCCGCTCATGTCTATATGCACGTGGTTTGCTACTACGACTACTACTACTACTAATCCTCCTCTCACTATCATGACTCTTTCTACACCTGCCATCTGATTCACGTCTACTGCTGTGCCATCTATCATCCTTGGACTTTCTCCTGTCAGTCCCATCCCTACTCCGACTAGTGTCCGACCTACTTCTGCTTCTACTCCTACTACTCCGACCCCTTTGTCTATCCTTTCTATCCTTCCCTTTCCTGTCCTTGTCACTTCCCCTTTCCCTGTCTTTGCAACTATTCAACGTTTTGTCAGACTTCTTGTATTCACTGTCATGGCTATAACTACGTCTTCTGTGACTGTTACTGCTACTTTTTTTCTTTTCCTGCCTTCTCGATCCTCCCATATGTCTGCTATTTTTTGAGCTCTTTTTTGAACTTTGTCTACTTGCTGAAGAACTAGATCGAGATGAGCTGCTCGAATCTGAAGTTGATGAACTATCAGAATTACTCTTTGAACTTGTTTCATCATCATTTTCCTCTGAACTGACACTCCTTTTATCACTTTTCTTATTATGTGAGAGGGATGTTTCACCCCTCTTTGGGGATTGTTTTATTTTCCTGTCTAATTTAGAATTATCAGCATTTCGCTCAGACTTTCCTTCACTGTCATGGAAAGATGATTTTATTGAAACTGGGGATGTAAACAGGTCCATATTAGGCGTACTTTGTAGTTTATCTTCACGTTTTATACTGTCCTGTGGATGTAAGATTTTCGGCTTTTGGTCTTGTTCTCCTTCCTCTTCAGACCCTAAAATTATGGTCAGTCTGTCAATGATTACAGCAACAGTGCCACACTGAGCTCTGCAGACTTGAAAGTTTCATAAAAATCTAACAGATGACAGACAATCGAAGGAACATAGGAACTACATCATTTGCACAGTACACATCCCTGACTGTCATGCTACTGACCTGCAGGCTGCAACTCAATACAAAAAGTGTTTAATGTTATTGCAGTGTACACCATCACAACAAAACCTGATTAAAACATAATCTTTACACTTGCATCTAAAAATTCTTTTAATTAATTTGGTTATGTTTTAAGTAGTTTTAAAAATTATTGTTGTTATTATTATGACTATATCACAATATTATACTAATGTTATTCCTAATCTTTTCAATACAGTGACCTCAAGCTTTTAATCCTTTCTATTTTCCTTGTGTGTATCACTGCAAACACCATTCTACAAATGTTGAACAATCTCTGACATGTGATTTCAACTGAAATAATTTAATTTCTCCAACTACATGCCTGATAAATATTTAAGTGAAGAAATCAGTCTACATTCCTGGTATGAGTACTACAAATAACTGATCAAATTATCAACGGGTGACACATACTACAAGCAACTACACTTCATTTGCATACAGATAAAACGGGTTTACAGTTTCAACAAATAGATATCAAAAATTCTAAATTAAAATAAAATGCAGAAATGAGATAATAAATGGAAACAAAAAGTTCATAATTTTGGTAACTTCTAAGAAATCACATATGTTGTAAAACAAATTCTTAGAAAAAGTTACGTAAAACTGTGATTTTTCTGTTAGACAATCATACACATCTTGAAACTTTAGTGTTAAGACTATGCGAAGTCACTGTTTGTAGTACAAACTGAAGAAATGTGTTTATAGAATGTGAAAAGGCAAACTTTCCTATGTGCTATCATGTCTAACACTGGGCAGTGAATCTTATAAACTAAAAGAATAAGGTATCACGAAGACCCTGCTTTGTGCATGTCTCTAAATTTCTGCCCCTACTTCAAAATTTAAAGAATTCTATACAAGTCAGTACTAGTGAAATACATGCATAACATAATGCTATCATACCAAATGTTCCAAAATGGAGTGTCATACATAATGAATCAGTTTCAAAACATCAAAATTAAATGAAACAGTTCCTGCAAAAATGCTTTTTAAATAGGCATGTGCAAGAATTACTTTTACAGTTCAAGATGAAAACATAACAATAATCTGTAAACATTTCGATGGTGATGAGAATGAGAAATTTCTGTAATAATAATTTATGTCACAAGCCACTTTTCACAATGCACTAACATGAAATGCCCCATTTGATATAAGATTTTTTTTTAGTGAGAATTGTTCATAAATCATCATATACAGAGTGTTTCACAACTTTAGGGCTTAACTGCAGGAGGTGATTTCCTAGGTCTTTGCGATCAAAAAAGTTCATACAAACATGTGTCCGATTTTGGACGGTTACGGAGTTATGACCGTTTTTTCATTCCCGTACATGCCCTCATGTGAACCGTGTCTGTCAGCTGGTCGGTCACTATTTTTCGCCAGTTACAGACAGAGTGCTCTCATTATCTCAACACTTGAGATGTACCTAAAGCAGGGAGGGTTGGTATGTCCGGCGCGGTTCACAACCGAGCGGCAGCCTGTGTTGCGGCAGGTGGTGGCATTTTCAAAAATCAGCTTTAAGCGCCAAGAAATTCAAATTAAAGGTAATTTCACGAAATGAACTTTACATTCATACTTTAAATGTATCATGTATTATGCTGGTTTATTATTTTGTTCTGTTTATTATCAGTAATTGTTTCCTTCTATTCTGAGTTTAAAACGGTCATAACTCCGTAACCGTCCAAAATCGGACATGTTTATATGAACTTTTTTGATCACAAAGACCCAAGAAATCACCTCCTGCAGTTATGCCCTAAAGTCGTGAAACATCCTGTATAAAAACAATTCTACTCTATGACCATACCCTTTTCCACCATTGGCAGAAAGAGGGCCAGTGAGACAGATTTTGTTGACCGTAGCATTGCCAACCATTACAAAACTGATGGATCACATCAGATAGTTTGTATGCTACTGTGCAAAGCCTAAGACTACTAGAAATTCAAGGTTGAAAATAAATGTTCAAATGGGAATAAAGATTTTTTCTTCAACTTTTGTTTAAAAATTTATTATACATGGCTATTTTAAATGCTTCTTTAAAAAAATACTGTGCTCTGTGCTACTATATTTTCACATCACACATCTGCACAGATTTCAGTTATATTTTATATATGTGGATTTAAGTTAAAAGTTTCATAGTGCTGCTTTATGGGTTATCACACCATGTAACCTGGCAGGTAGCTACTACTGCTCCCATCTTCAGGAAGACATTGTTCAGTGAATTTCATTTTTATTTACATGATCTCTACTTTGCAAGAAGCTGCAGAAGGGCATACTGCTTGTTCTCATGTACTGTTAAATAGTAAATATATCTTAAAAATATTTAAAGTAAACACAATAGATTCTAATGAGATTCACACAAAATACCATGATATATTTTGCATGGTAAGCAGATGTTGAGAAAATGAAGTTCAATTTTTGCATTAATAGAAAGTTCATTCTTCAGCTTAATGTCAACCTCTCCCTCCCTCCCATACCAAATTTTATAAAACTGTCCTGCAATTTTGGAAATGGAACACATTACTGTCAGGAATGGGGGCTGGGATAGCTCAGCTGGTATAGGAACTGGCTACAGGATGGATGACTGAGGGGTTGGAGTTCGAGTCTCAGTAGGGTGAAGAATTTTCTCTTTTTCATGTCGTCCAGACCAGCTCTGGGGTCCACCCAAACTCCTATCCAATGGGTACCAGGGGATCTTCCCTCAGAGGTAAAGCAGCCAGGGTGTGAAGCTGACGACTAACCTCCAGCTTGCGCCAAGGTCAAATAAATGTGGATCTATGCATCCACTTCCTCATACGCCTTCATGACATAGTGCTTAATTAGTTAAGCATAGGGAGACAACTGTCAGGAACACTTCAGTAAAATATTTCCAGTCATATACTGACTACCTTTTTGACTCAAGAAGCTCCCTTATTTTTATGGAACAAGCTTTAAGACAGGTCTTCAGCTTATATAACATTTTCCAAAAAAGAAATACTGTGCATGTACTAGGTGGTTCAAATATGACCGGGACTGATTTTTTTGTAAACAAGTCGCACTGCGCAGCAGCTGTGCGACCTTGAGAGATTGTAGCCACAACCTCCACCCTCCCTCATGTTAGGGTTAGCAACTGTTCAGTCCTGTCTGGGAGTTGCTAGAGTGATGAGCGAACAGAAGGTACCACAGGGCGTGGAACAACACATTGTGATCAAATTCCTCGTTGGAGGAATTCACCACAGACTCCAACAACAGTATGGGGAAGAGTGTCTCTCACGGACCTGTGTGTTTGAGCGGTGTGTTGGTAGTGTATAAGACATCATGAAATGGAATACCCATTAGGAGCACCCTTCAGTTGCAAAGTTAAACAACTCTGGAAATGAGCAACCAGTACAGTTTCCATGTGCGTTTCTTTGCACCTCTGCATTCTCGATGCTCCTGTTTCTTTCCAACAGCTCTGATGAAGTTAACATTATATACATGCTCAAAAATGAATTAGTATGGTTAATACAGTCACTAGTGGTACTAATGTTACTACACATTTCAGTACCGATGTCAGAATCATTCCAACCTCACTTTTTCATGTACCTGCCATGTTTTCTATCATGTTGCAGGAAACTCACAAAATGTGGATTTCAGCTATCCTTTCACATCAGCTATCATCAAGACCAACGAGCAGTTTCTGTTTTTGCAGACAGGCAGACAGATGGATAAACTGACAATATCACTCCTACATATGGAGTCAGGATAGCTCAGCCCATACAGCAATGGGCTATGGGCTGGATGCCTGAGATTTGATTCCTGGTAGGGCCAAAAGATCTTTCTCTTCTCCACAGTGTCAAGACCCGCTCTGGGGCCCACCAAGCCTTCTATTCAGTGGGGAATGGGGGCTCTTCTCCTGCGAGTCAAGTTGCCCACTCACATCCATCTAGTGCCAAGGTCAAGGACGGTGGTGCTAAGCCTCCACTCTCCTCCATATGTCTGTATGATGCGGCGCTTAATTAAGCGCAGGGCCAGCTTTATCTTACCTTTACATCTCCTATATACCGTTTTCTTATGCATATTTTGCAAAGTACGCACAAAAAGTAATAATTCATTTAAGTGATCATCTGACCCATCAAATAGGTGCAGGAGTGATGAGACTGGAGCAAGATTCATTTGTCCATGTTCTATGCTCAGTTTGAGGTTGAAAGGCCCAAGAAAAACTACATAAAAATGTTCCAAACAGCTGACCCATGGTATCACTTTTATGCATTTATTACTTATCTAAACTTCAAATTCAGTGGCTTCATTCACTCAAATTATAGAGTGTTTACAAAACAACTAATTAGCCCAATTTTTACAAATTCTTATGGCATATCCTTTGACAACCACTATACAAGTTTACTCTCAGAAGTCCACAAGCAACCTTTTCCCATATTTTTATGTGCAGATTAATAACTCAAGAACTGGAGTCAATATGCGAAAGAAACACTAACTCCCAAACATTTTACAATCTACTGAAGCATTAAGTTAATAACCATTCAACAACATCAGTAAGAGAGAGAAAAAGAACATACTTGCAAGTGCTGATGGCAACAGAAACTTAGATAGGAGCATTTTTTAGCATTTAGGATGAGAGAGGTTTAAAAAACCTGTATGAACAATAAAAGATTATTTTGTGAGGATGCCAGTGATAATTGGCGAATAGACAGAATATGATAATGAGAGGCAGAAACAGGCACACACATGCCCAATTACATTCACAAGAACTTGAGACAGGTCCAAGATATTATGGTATCACAATCAAATTTATTTTTGTCCCATTCACAAAAAAGTTGTCATAACCTTTTGTATGTTCCAGACTTACACAGTGTATTCAGCACCTTCTCAATGGTCATATAAATTACGTGATCTGATTTCGTGTAAAACTGTGCAATGCTACCATGTACCAGGTTCACATACTTAATCTATTTTAGTGACATTTAATAGAGTTTTAGTACTTCTTCAAATCAATGACACCGATGAAGCCAGAACCTCTAACTGTGGTACAACTCTTTCACATAAAGAAAAATTGTGATAATCAGTTTTTCCCACCCCTACTCCCCTCCACCTTCTTCTGAAGTCTTTTAGTACAATCATTACATTCTAAGTTTGTATCTAAGAAAGCTGCTAAGTTTTGGTTTTAGTGTTGTTTATTTTTTAACAGTTTATTTTACAAAGATGTCAGTGGGTTAGACTACAAAGAGCTGAATGAAAAATGTCAGAATGAATAATGAATTGGAAAGGAAATGGAAGGAAGAGGTCATGACCTAATTTGAGGCAGTATTCTGGTATTTTCCTGAAGACCTCAGGAATACCTCAGTTGGGTCTTCAAGGTGATATCCAAACTTGGAACTCTCAAATATGAAAGAGAACTAACCACTCAAGGAACAATTGATCTTTTGGTACTAATTACACCAAAATTATGTCCACCTGTAACTTTCATACCTCCCAGTAAACAGGTAAGTAATGATTATTCTACAACAAACTCACAAATTATACAAAATTGAAAATCGATAATAACCCTTAAAAATTATGAAACTGCATTTGAAATTATGATGATAACGGGTGTTTCATTCGGGGCGGAACCGGGCATTTTGTTAATAACTCGGATACTAATAAAGATATTGCAACGAAATTTGGAGTGGACTTACCTCAGTTCATGTGAAGTCTGATGACATCGTAACAAGTGCTGGAAATGGCCACTATTTGCGTCCAGACAGCATTGGACTCAGCGCGCCATGTTTTCGAAAGTCCTTGCCCGTACATCAGGTGTCACTTTTTGGATGGCCTCACTTATGTTTGCTTTTAAAGCCTTTATGGTTCGCGGTTTGTTGGCATGAACTTGCGCTTTCAAATGTCCCCACAAAAAATAATCAGGCGGCGTTATACTGGGCGAGCGCGGTGGCCAAAGTCCCCTGGAAATGATGTGGTCGCCAAAAAAAGACTGGATTTCAGCCATGCTTGCGTGCGAGGTGTGTGCTGTTGCACACTATCTTCCACTGCTTTGTGAATCAACTGGAGGATGAGGAATTATCCATCAGTTATTTCCAGGAGGATGGAGCAACAGCACACACCTCGTGCGCAAGCATGGCCAAAATCCAGTCTTCTTTCGGCTTTAAAAGCAAACATAAGTGAGGCCATCCAAGAAGTGACACCTGACGTATGGGCAAGGACTTTCGAAAACATGGCGCGCTGAGTCCAATGCTGTCTGGACGCGAATGGTGGTCATTTCCAGCACTTCTTATGATGTCACCAGACTTCACATGAACTGAGGTAAGTCCAGTCCAAATTTCGTTGCAATATCTTTATTAGTATCTGAGTTATTAACAAAGTGCCGGATTCCACCCCGAGTGAAACACCCATTACTATCTCATGAAGAATTTACGTAAAACTCTACAAAGACCGTTGCACTTTACAAGCTGGCAGTTGGTGAGATGATCATAAAATTTGACTATTGTGAAACTTGAAGGTGTTCATAACACCCCACCTATATATCATCCTCACTTCTTTATTTTTCTGCTGTATAAATTTGGTCTACATCCCATACCTTCAAGGCATCCTTTCAGAGTCTCCCATCTATGCCTGGGTCTCCCAAGTGGTCCCTTCCATTCCAGTATTCAGACTAAAATTTTGCATCCATTTTTCATTATCCCGGTGCATGCTATATCATACCCATTTCATAATCATCAATCTGATCGTCCTAATGACTGGTGAAATGTACAATCTACGTAGCTTTTTATTATGCAAATTCCTCCACTCTATTACTCCTGCCTCATAAGTCCAAATATTCTCCTCAGCATGCTCTTCTCCAACACCCTCGGCATGTCCTTCCTTTAGGGTGAAAAACCAAGCTTTACACCCACAATAAAACACGTAAAATTATAGCTGTGTATAACGTCTTTTTTTTTAATCTTTACAATATTTACATAAGAGGCAAGAAGATAACAGATACATATAGCAGCAAACATCAGCAATAAATCTACTGGCCGCAAATTCTTGCGACTTCGCTCCCGTTCATGCTCGCAAACAATAGTATTGCTGCTTTAATGCTGAAAAGTCAAATCTAATTTCTGAAGCACACTTGTCCACTTCTGATAAATGAGAAACCATAAGCTGTTACTCACAGGGCCCTTTGTACACTTAAGTATAACCTACAGTTTCAAGCACGAGTTCTCCCTGGAAGACTGACTGCTGGTATATTTTTTAATCAACTACCTAACTGCATGTTGCAGGGTCTCCCTTGACATTGATACTTTCTCAGTTGGTCAAGAAATATTCTGTTTTTATAGAACCTGAAGGTTTACCATCACGTTCGTAAAGGCACAAAATTGGATCCAATTCTAAACAAGTCTTCTCTTTCCAAAGGTTTCCCAATTAACATGTTGGAAGTATTTTTCATTCCTTCCATGGATGCTACATGTCCGAATCACTACATCCTATTCGATATAAAATTTCACTGGTCCTGTTTCCCTTTGTGGGGCTGATGCACTGTGCAGGCCAGCTGGCTCAGCATTACATTTCTTCAGTGTTAATACCATCAACACAAAATTAAAATACAGCTGCCAAACATGCAGAAATGGGAGAGTTAAAAGCTCCTATTTCCTGATATTAATATGTATTGCCAGAATTAAAATATGGCCACCACCCTCATCGTGCCATTAGACTTAAAACCCATATTTTTGGATGAAAAAGGTAAATTGTCCTAACAAATAGAATGAAAAATTTGCTTAGTTTTATACACTCCGATAACATCAATAAGACAGTGTTATCCTGGCAGTAATGAAAGAGTTTACTTGCTTCACAACATACTATGGACACTGTCCTTGAACGCAATGAACACAAAGACAAGAGAGTGCATATTTCAGAATTCATCTTTGTGGACAATGCAGAATTAGATTTAAGTGCCAGTTCCAAGTCTTCCTGCTGTGGTTAGTTGTTCCACTTCAGAAATCTCTCTCTGTATCCCCCCCCCACAAAAAACAAATATGATATATAATTCATACTTTTGTTTCCATTTCTATTGAATATGAAAAAATTTGCAATCCGGATACAAAGCTCTCACCACTGACTAATGCAGTACAACACTGATATGTTGTTAAACTGTACTTATATGGCAAGATTTCTATGCCGTAAGTTATATTTATTCACACTGCGGTCTACTGAGTTCACACTGTGTAGTCTTGCAGATGGACACAGAGATTTCAGAGGAACTTGCTGCCTCTATCTTCAGGGTGCAACCTTAAGTATCCATCTGTGAGGCTACACAGTGTCACAACCCAGAAGGCCACCCCTATACAGATTCAAATTTTATACTATGTTTATTCTGCCATTCAACGCATGCTTCAGACAAACTGGTTTTATACCCAATTATTACAGGGTATTAAGTATACAAAATTAAATTGAAACACACCTACTTTGTACTGACCCACTTTAATCTTCTTCAAAATAAAAATAATTTGGCCACTAAATTCACTTAATATCGAAATCCACTTTAAATAACTAGGGGAAGAAACTCAGGCTTCATGATTTGCTTGAATTATAGCAAATGTGTTCTATAAATTGTGGCCTAAAATTAATGGAGAGAGAAAAACCAAATTACAAAACATGAATTAGTTCCCCCCCCCTTCTTACTAGCAGCCTCATTTTTATGTTCTCCTAAGCCCACTTCAGCGACAATCTATTTTAGCTAATGTCAGAAATCAATTTACAACTGGCAGCAATGAAATTCACCATACAGTCTAATGCTGGACAAACATTTAATGTTGAGAATAACCAAAATTCAGAATGCTGAACACCGTACCTTGGAAAGCAAATAGCATCCTATAATCTGCACATCCATGATGTTATGGCAAAACAACACAAAATCTTGTACTCACCCTTCTCTGCAGGATGCTTTGAATCAGTTTGGTTTTCTACCTGTCTCTCTTCTCTGTCAGTGTCATCACTTTCCTCACCCATCATGCGTCTTTCTCTTTCCTTCTCTTGCTCCTCTTCTTCCTGAAGTCTTGCCTCTATCTCTCGTTCTGTTTTCATGAAGTCCATCTTCCGCTTCTGGATCTGATTCTACCAAATCCATAGTGTGGTATATAATTAACATACATATTCTTGGCTCTTAAGCTTAAGCTGAGTTACTTGTTTAAACAAATCTAATGTGTTGATGAACAACATCTTCATTATCATATCAACAAATCCATGACATTACCGTATTTAAAAGTTTACGTGTAGCTGTCATGTACCTAACAAACCAACTCTTCTGCTCAACACTGTACACAGTTCTTGGCCAGTTCCACCACCTCTCATCCCCACAAACTTTTTCAGTATGATCCATCTCAATATTACTCTGCCATGCAATTTCTAATGACTTTATACATGCAAAATAAAGCCTTGTCTCTACAGCATAGGCCAAATGCTTACCACCTAGCAGCTTCCTTCTATTATCTCCACATATATGAAGAAAAGAAACTACTCAGAGAAACTAGACATAGGTGACAGGAAAACATTAGCAGAAAATAATCAAATGGTAGGCCATTGTGACCACAGCAAAAGAACCTATGAGTTAAAAAACAGTCCCTGCAAATGCAATAAAATGTTCAGATACCAAAAATTAATATTTCCCAAAACTGCTGCCTCTACCATTAGGAGGTACTTACCCGGCACTGCATGCAATTCTGTTCAGTAACAAGATAATCAAGCTTGGGAAAGTAAAGATTTCATAAGAAATTAATATCATAATGACAATCAATCAATTATTTATTTAGTAGCAGTCTCTTACCCTCAGTTCTTCGTCTGAGTCAGCCCCATTAATCCGTGAAGGAGTGTTGTTGCCCGTAGCATCATCACCACTGTCAGAATCCTCACTGTCACCATACATTCCCAGACCTGCATGTGTGAGATTTCGAATTCTCAAAATATTAATGCATCACCACAATAATGCTCGGTAACATTCACATAAATTAATACTATGAAGTAACAATATTGTAGTTTTTTCACTGTTCAAGTTATGCCAGCAAGCTTAAGTCATATCGGTCTGCTAAAAACATCAAAGACTGACTTTTGGGAGTGTATAAAGTGATTAGGTTGGACCAGGTTCAAGATTAACACAGAGGATAATGGAGAAACGTACATGGCCAAAACAGTGAAGAGAATGCTTATTCACTTAGAAACATGGAAAGAGGGAAAAGCAGTAACAGGATGGTTACAAGATGCTGCAAAGAGTGGCAACCAGAATGGTTTAACCATTACAGAGTATGAGGACAAACTACTTATCTAAATGCAAAATATTGAAGAAGACAGTAGCACCTCAACTTCCCAGTTTTGTATTCAATATCTTACAGCTGCATTTAGCAAGAAGAATCTTTTTACCAGCAAATTGGACTTAAATTTGAAAAAGAAACTAGTGAAATGCTACATTCGAAGCAGGGCTTTGTATGGGGCTGAAACTTGGACACTTAGGGCAGTAGATCAGAAACACTTGGAAAGCTTCGAAATGTGGTGTTGGAGAAGGATGGAGAATATCAGTTGGACCAATTATGTGAGATATTTAGAGTCAGTGAGCATAGGAATATCCTACACGAAATAAGAAAATGGAAGGCTAATGGGATTGGTCATATCTTACGCAGTAACTGCCTCCTAAATGAAGTTATTGAAGGAAAGACAGCGGGGCACATAGAAGTGACCAGAAGACGAGGAAGAAGATGTAAGAAGATGCTGGATGACCTAGGGGACAGACGAGGATATTCTCATTTGAAGGAGAAAGTTCTAGATCGCATGAAGTGGAGGAACTGTTTTGGAAGAGACTGTAGACCTGTCGTCTAACAGATTACTGATGAATGAATGAATCTTACAATTCTGCTATAATGGAACATCAAATCCAAATCATTAACACTACTTCCAAAGCATAATCTATACCTTATAGAATTTGGAAGAAACTAGACATATGATGTGAAAGCAATTTTCTTGTGCCAGTTGGGGTTACTGGATTTTTGGACCTGTCACTGTCTGGTAAACAACACTTTAGGATACCTGACAATGGGCAAAGTCCAAAATCCTAGTAATCCTGAGTCTGATATACCACTGTCAGATCCCTTTACAATCTACCTCTTGTTCCATTGTCTTATATTTTGTTTCTTCGGACAGAATAAACAAACCATAACCCTTACACACTCAAATATTATACAACATTTGTAATATGTCTGTACAGATGATGGAAAATACAATGAATGCTAATCAGTATTCTGAAAATTAGTAAGCTCCACAAACTTTCTTACATACGATCCTCAACTGCCTATTTGTAGCGATCTTTGGGTCACAATGTGACAAACATAAAAACTGCTTAAAAATGTTAAAACAAACATAATTTCTCACGGAGCTGCAGAGTTGCTTTCTGTGCAACATATACATACTCTAGTAATATGGACCATATGATTATTCACATTTAAGTACAGATTTGGAAATTGATGATGCTAAATCTGCTTGGTGGCTTAAGAACTTGTGGGTACTTTCACAGACTCTTTATCACTATTTAATTTTATTTTAAATACTGAAGTGAACATTATAGCCCACCCTCAAAAAAAGAGAGAAAGAGGAAAGGAGGAAAAGAAAATAATGTGGAAGATGAGGAGGAAGAACAGACTAACAGAATGAACATAACATGGAGCAAGTGTGATGTACACCAAGAATAAGAAGCATATCTATACAACTAAATAAAATTTAACACTCCATGTTGAAGTCATCTTCATAAATTCAAAGTTCTATGGCAGTCTTTCGTGTAAATGTATCTACAATTCAGCCATCATTTGGTTGATACAAATAAGATATCAAAGGCAAGAATATATAAAAATGGAATTCATAAAATAAATGGGAAAATATTCAGGTGCAGAGTAATGCATAGAAACATTACTTTTATATCTTCTTCTTCTTCTTCTTCTTCTGTGGCACAATAATGTAAATAAATGTAAATAAAACTAAAATGCTGATACAGTCTAGAAGGAATCCAAGGCAAACTGGAGAAATTAACATTACTTTTATATATTTAGGGGCATTTCAGAGATATCAGTCGGTCGAAGTATCTGGGGTAATTTTTGTTGAACAGAAATACTTACTCCACATGGAATGCAACAAAATAATCACAATTACCTTTATAACTTCAGCATAACTTGACTAATAAAAACTACAATAATGAAACTGCTGAACAAGCTATTCAGTTACACAGTACATATAACAGTAGTCATGAAAACAAAATACAAGAAAAGCAAACGTCAATTGTATAGCCTCAAATGTAGAACCATTTCCTTTAACTAAGGTTGAACTAAATGTGTTTCACAATACGTAAGTAAAATGCATTAATATCATTTGAAATAAAAAAGTATAAAGCCTGGTAGAAGAAATTAAAGGGAGACATAGTTATGGTGGCTTCTGTATTTTAAAATGCCAATAAAGCTATTAGGCAATTAAGAATCTGGTAGAAGTCCCTAAACATATGCTGAGCTAATTTCCATCTGGCTCCCATCCTCAAAATCTGTTTTCTATCTACCATACAATCATTTTTCCATCTTCTTCATTGCCAACCAACTCCCCCTTTTCAACAGGTCTCCCCAGCATAATTCTGCATTTATTTCTTGACTCTCCCATCCAAGTTACACGTCCAACTCAACATAACCTGTTTAATTTCATCACAAATTCTTTTGTGAAATTATCTTCATACTTGGGTGATTTAAATTTATAAGTGAACAATGATATGCAATGCAGTCCCTGAGATAACATGATAAGACTACTGTGCATGTGGTCATATGACTGAATCATAGTCTAAAGTTTTTATTGCTTTATTAAAGAAGGAACAGTTTACTAAAATGGAGCATTTAATCATCTTGGACACTGCACAGATATGTAGTTCAGATTCACAGTTTAACACTGACAACTTGTATTAAGTTTCATTTTGAAATATGTTATATAGAACACCACAAAATAAAATATATCACAGAATCAGACAATAATAACATATATTATGGAATAAATTACATCACAGTATTATCAATAGTCTGCTGGCCTAACAGGAACAAATGACTTTAAAAATATTCACATCAACAATACATATTCATGTTAAACGAGGCAAAGTTCCTCCACATGGATTACATTCATAGATGTCTACAAGCATCCCACGGGTCCTGTTCCACAGAAGCATTAATGCATACTTTAGAAGATATAAATAAATTTACTTGCAAATGCAGCTCTGTAAAAGTCTGTTCCATAAAAATAAATCATTTTTTTTTTGATTGACACAAACCTGCATGGATTATAATAATTTTAATCTTAAACAACAAAGTTTTTAAGAAACTTTAAAAATTTTAATACAAGGAAGGCTGCTGTGACTGAAAAGTTGAACATTGTGTACATCGTGTATGTCAGACATTATATGTGTATGTATATAATTTAACACCTATTGTAATAATAGTTTCCGAAAAAAGTATTTATGCCCTCTGAGGATGATCCCTAGGGATTGAAACATGTAAGGGTGATGAGTTTTCAAGTGATAAAACTTAAATAGTCACACTGGACGGTGTTATTTTTGTCTTTGTAATAAATCATATACTTAAATATTCCAATTATGTCATTAAACTACACTTTATTAATGGAGTAGAAAAGTAAACTAAGATGAATACATCTCGACAAATCAAACTGTCTGCATTGAACAGAATATACAAATATAAACACACGATATTTCATTAGTATCATGGTAAAGTGCCAGAGAAAGATAAAATAAGTATGTGGCAAGATGTATTTAACATGGGAAAATCATTTGGTTTGTCTGACTCCACCAAAGATTAGACATACATAAGAGAAGTGTCTTAGCCCAGTTCAAGGAAAATGAAAGCAGTAAGTACAATTTATGTACATTATTTGGATGTTATTCCTTCTGTGTATCTTTAAAGTGATACCTTGCAGGTAAGAATGAAGTGTAAGTACAGTTAAATGAATAAAACATAAAATCTATAAATATCAATAAATATGAGGTCATGGCTTTGAATAGCTGAGTGTTCCAGTTCACGACTTATGTCATTTATAATGTCTCCCACTGCAGTAGCAAATCACCTAGAATGTTCATGACACACAAATGTGCGCGAGTGCACTCACACACCACCATCCATATTCTAATCATTATAAGTCCTTCTATTCTGGCAGAAAAATATGTAAATTTTATATATAAATTTCTATTTCTTGATAGCTGTTTGGAATAGAATGCTTGTGAAAATAAAAACATTACTTACAGCTTGTAGAATGCTCATTAATACTATACAAGTGTAGAACAAATGTTCACAAAACACAATACTTTTACAGTAGAACTTGGTTATAACGTCATCAAAGGGACCTAAAAATAGTGTCGTTATAAACGAATGTCAATGTAACCGAAATGGGCACTTCCACAGTAGCCTTATGTTAGTCACGTAAAAATCTACCAAAAACTGAGTTAAAATGCTGCATTTTTTAGTGAAATACGTAGTTAAGTACAGACTAACGTAACATTAACGTGGAATTGCCCAAATGTGTAATATCAAAGACATATTACAGCGCTTTTCACTGACAATACACACAATATTTCACGAATCACTTTAACTTTCTCTTCAATGCCTAAAACTTTCCTTTTCATTGCCATGTTTTCGCTACTGCACTTCTCTGGGTTTAGGCAGGAACACTATAGGGTAAGTAGACAATGTGAGGTCCTGTTAGACGAGATTCTACGAAAGGAATGCAGTTAACAACCTGCCGCGTCCTCTTGCACTATTCACGCAGTCCCACCCCACACCCTTGTTTTTGCATAAAACCCACGCTCCTCTTGCAGCCCGCGGTCGTATTCTTCCAGGACAGTCACGTCAGCAAGTAGAGAAAGTGAGGGTGGGCAGACACATCGAACTTTCCCACGATATCAGAGAAATTCAGGAATGAAAATGACGTTACATACGAGGTTGATGCATTTGTGCATGTCGTGCTAAGCAAGGTATAAAAACAGTTGCTTTATGAGGAATTAGTTCGTACCATTGAATATTTCACGCAATAGACAAGGTGTCGCAGAAACCGATGTTGCTATAACCAAGTTTTACTGTATTTTGTATAAATTACAAGTAAATTCATTTGTATTCTTCAAGTCTACTTTTGTGGAACCAACCCTGGGGCCACTGCCTTAACATGGTGGGGAAGCTTTATGCCCTGATCACTTAGAGAGTCATGCTTGTGACAGCATAAACTCCTGGTATGGTCACACATGCTAGATAGGTCAAAAGGCAGCCCCTGGACCTCCATACTGGAGGTTGGATGTGAGGCTAACAACTCAGCTAGTTAGACAATATGTGTTCAGACATCCAAGAGTAGTATTTTGGAGGCTGTCCCTGACTTGATCTGCAGGTAAGAAAAAAGAATCCAATGTGTGGCACTCATCAAATAAAGACAGTTACTTCACATTCAAATGAAGACTGAGAGTCATTATCCAAACACTACACAGTGGAACCCTCATTTAATGTTCCTTAATCTAACGTTTTCCTTTGTTTTGCATTCAATTTCAATGATCCAAAGTTAATAACCTCAGTGTTCAACTTTTTCTGCTCAAAATTTTACTCAGTTTAGTGTTCAAATTCTACAACTTCCCAAAGAAACTTTAAATGGAGTTTTCTACTGTTCCTGATCAAGGCAATGAACAATGTTGGAAGATAATATTCCCATACATAAATTACTGTACATGATGATATTATTATAAATGATGAGCAATTGTAGTTGCTAAGAAAAGTACTTTTGGCTGGGATGTAATATCCTGTGGTTTGGAAGAAGTTCCCCGATTTTGGGGGGGAATGTTGATGAACTTCTATCAGACAATGAGGCATCACATTCCAGTATATAGTACTCTTCAAAGTCACTGCTATGAGAACCTCAAACCTACAATGTTGCTGTTATTCCTGACTTGGAAGGATATCACGCAACTCTACAATATTACAACAACAAGACCACTTTGAAAATCACAGACAGTATATTGTATATTTATGACAAATGTCAACCCCTAGTTTGGAATCTAGAACAGCATATGTCCAAGAATTTTTGGATAGAATGGCACAAGGGTTGTGATCAGAAGCTTTCATAAGTTAACAAATTTAAGTTTAAAATCAGAATGCTCTATAATATCAAAACTGTCTTAAAGTGAAAAGAATTTAATACCTAACACAACTTCATTGTTATTTTAATTACAGTTCTCACATTGTGAGTTACACTAGAGGTAAGTACTGAAACATGTAGGTCTATATGCAAAGGGACCATTATTTTTGCCTGAGTTTAACCAAAATTGGAATGTGACAAATTTTAGTAAAACTTCCCACTATCAAAGTTCATTAAAATTCATTCAGTGGACCCCCAGCTGTTAAGTGGGGAGAAATGAACAGGCAGACACAACAAAGCTAATAAGCATATTTTTACAAATTTTCATTGTGAATACAATAAAAATGGGTAATTTATGATAACAGCATTAACATGTGAATCTTTCTGCACCAAAACATCTGGTATGATTCTGTAAATCCAATGGAACGAACAAATAAATAAGATTAAATAAAATAACTGCATTTTATGAAGATGTCTCATTTTACATCAGACCCTTCAGTTATGCGGTAAAATCCAAATTTAAGGTTACTCTAGAAGCAATGACATGATACTTAGGCTGAAACAACAAAAAAGAGAGTATTAAAATGGGAAAACTTTACCCCAAGGTGTATTACATATACTTAAAACATATAAAACACAATTGCTCATCATGTCTATAGCAATTAGTAGTTACACATATGGAAAAGGAAATACAACTTCATGAATCTACACAATATTATCTTATTTTCAGACATAATCTGAAACGTGTCATTGGTGACTACCTCAAATGACAGATATAAATCTTTAAAAATCACTTACCCAGCTTGCCAGTCAAAGACGCTAAAGCCTGGGTCTTCCGCAGTTGCAATGCTGGAGCTTTGTCACAAATATAAATGTTTAGTACAAGGCGACTGACACGCTTAAATGAGAAGGGAGGATGTAATAATTCTGTTCCCTAATGGACCACTGCACAGCATCTGTAAGTAGCCCACAGCTACACAAAACTGCACACAGCAGCTCCTTGTAAACAAATCCATAATAAGTAGAGAACAAACACTTCATTGCAACAACATATCTTTCTGAAAATTCAAGATTACAATCATTCCTTTCAATAAGAACAATTTCAGTACACTAGATGTTATATCAACATACACATCAACAGAGATTTCCACATGTATGAGTCTTTTAATAACAATAACTGATTCTATTGAGTATTGAAACAGATGCTCAAAGCAAAATATTACTGCCAAGTACAAAGCAGGCAATATGATGATCAAAATGTTCTTGAAATTACACAATTGATATTGAGCAGAAATGTGAATGTGTAATTGAAGTTTCTAATACCTTTCGCTTTTGCTTTACTCAACACTTCCTGTGCTACCGCTTCCATTTCCTCTGTAGTAACCTCCAAGAGGATTTCCGTTAATGTGCGCCGAACTTTCAGCATCTGTAAATTTTAAAATAGTTGCAAATTTAGACTTCCATTTCTATTCTGTGTAATGATATTCTGTCACGGTGAATAACCTGCGGACATTCCAAACCACTTTCTTCTAGCAGACTCCATCTTCAGGATCAAGTAACAGCAGACAAAATTCTTGTATACTACATAGTATAGCTGTTTTCATCAACAGCACTGTATGACATATATATAATATGACATTGACATGTATATAAGAGACCAGGGAGGATCTTACCTTGGTTGATCAGTTCACGGTGACCAGCGCACTGCTCACTGTGAGGCACATACAAATTTTGCCCATGAATTAGTATGCCTGATGGCCGATTACATTTGGTATTAAGGGAAGTTAATTTGGACTGCTTGACAGTATCATGTTTCATGACAAGCAGTTATCAGCTCCATTAGCTGTTTGCTCTCAGTTACAATTTGTCAGCAATGTGTTCCAACATGAAATGGTATACTTTAGAGCAACCTGCATTTCTGTGCTATACGTTCATGAAATACGGATCTGCTAGGAAGTGTCAGCGAAAATTTTGTGATGAAAGAGTTTCCAGCAGACAGATAAATTGGTGGATAGACTTAGATCAACAGAACTCTTAGTAGACAAGAAACAAAAATATATGTGGTTGATAGACTTGAAAGGATTCTGACGATGGTGCATACTGTACTTCTTCTGGCTTATTTTGGACTTCATCCATCGTCTGGTATGTAAAAGACAAAAGACCACGACGTTTCGGAGACCGGATCTGTCTCCGTCTTCAGATGGGTAGGGGAGGATAAAACCTACTCAGTTGGGCCTGTTAGAAAGAGATAGTCTCATTCACTGTCTTTTACATACCAGACGATGGATGAAGTCCAAAATAAGCCAGAAGAAGTACAAAAATATACGTGCCAAGCACTTACCAAGGAAAACTGGGGAAGCTTAATAAACTTCACGATCACAAAGAGGGAAACTGTCTCAGTAAAAGTAACAAAAGGCGGCGCCATAGCTCAAGTGGTTAGCAGCTGGCTTCTCACCGCGACAACCCGGGTTCGATCCCAGTTCTGGTCAAGTGGAATTTGTGGTGGACAAAGTGGTGCTGGGGCAGGTTTTCTCCTAGTACTTCAGTTTCCCCTGCCAATATTCATTCCACCAATTGCTCCACAATCACCATCACCTATCATCTGGGGCTGGTACAATAGGCCAGAAGTGGCCACAGTGCAAGGTACTTAGTCCCACCCCACTAGCAATAAAAAAAAAGAGTAACAAAGAACATGTTTCCATATATTTCATATTTTTATGATGCTTGCTTGTAGTAATTGTATGAAATTAATTGTTTTACAGAATATAAAATACCCTGGGACAGCTCAGCCAGTACTGCAATGGGCTGTGCACTAATCACAAAATATTATGGTAATTCTACAACTTCAAGACAACATGATAGAAATGAAAGAAGTAAGAGGCTATGTAAGTTCAACTATGCATACTTACAATTTCCTGCATCACTTCTTCTCGAGACTTTGGTGGCTCTGGTTCATTGCCTGAAAATCTTACTGAAGGATGATGTGGAGATAAGTTTGGACTGTCTGCGTTTCTAAACCGGGATTTCCTTCTCAAAGAAGACTGTGAAGGAGTTGGGCTTCCCCCATGGGCTGATTCTTCTGAATCACTTTCCTGCATTAAAAAATTACAGGAAAATATTTAAGTCTAAGTTCCAAAATCTGATGACACAAATTTACATGAGTTCTCATTTTACTTAATTTCTTAACTGTATGGATTTCACAATTCCCAAGAAAATATGAATATGACAGACTTTCAGAATGATTAGTTACTATAGAATTCTGACGATGGTGCGTAACACACAGAGATATTGCGTTTTCGGACTTTATCCATCGTCCTGGTTTTAAGATAACTAAGAAAAACACGTTTCGGAAACTGGATCTGTTTCCGTTCTCAGGTGAGGGAAAACACCTATTCTGTTGGTCCAGTGATTGAAGCTAGCTCTTTGTAAGGGACCCAACAAAATATGTATTTTCCCTCACCTGAGGACGGAAACAGATCCAGTTTTTGAAACATCATGTTTTTCTTAGTTATTTTAAAACCAGGATGATGGATAAAGTCCAAAAACCCAATATCTCAGTGTGTTTCAGAATAACGTTTCAAAAACTCTAACCTCGTGACAATAATTAAAATGGCAAGACTAGAAACTAGTAAACAGACCCATTCATATTTCTACAATTTACAGGTACCAATTATGTATGGAACCAGTAGTGACTCATAACTGGCTAAACTGATGGGGCCAGGACCAATAAAATTCCACACCCCATCCAATGCCAATAGTGTTTAAGGAGAGTGAGGAAAATGTGTTATTCAAATGTTCATATNGGTGTGTGGGGGGGGCTCGGCTTGGCGCAACATGTCACAATATAATATTCCCTTTTCAGCAACTTTGGTCTCACTCAGAACAGTCTACACAAAGGGGCTGTGCCCCATTGTGACCTGCAGGTGAACACCTTATTCCTCTTGGTAGAAATACAATACTCCTTTAGGATAAAGAAGGATTCATCTGTGCCCTCTATTGCCCACATGGTGATCATACTGATGGATAAGACAGTTTTACACCACAGGTTCTTCAGCACAGATATGTACAAATCTAAAAATGTGCTGATTCTATTATATATTGGGCTCAGCCAACTAAAAAAATCCTGTCTTTCTGTAGGTTCTCTGATAATCACAGCAACAAAGATGTTGCATTTAACCAAAATGAAACTGTATTTAAATTCTGAATGACACTTCTCAACCAAGTTCTTCTTATGTATGGATCTGTTTAGTACCAGCACTAAAATTTTATTTTCTGTTCGTGCAATATCACCCTTCCTTAATTATATTACTTTCCATTTCTGTAACAGCACCTTTGAAATTAATGCTACCTACACCAGTATGCAGGCACAAGGATGATGTTATCAGTTCAAAACGAGACTGACACAAGAATTTTGTAAAAATTTTGAAAACAGAGACGAAAATGAGAATTTTCTCTAGCAGACCAACTTTTTCACTGTAATGATTTACAACAACAGTCACAATTTCAGTCTCTTATTGCATTTATCCAAAAGAAATATGACTCCTAACGTAAGACAACCACATAAAGAAAAGTAGTTTCATGAATTTCATACTCTTACTAGAAACATGTGAAAGAAGACAAATATCAGAAAACATTTTTCATTTCATGCATCCCGTTGTGTTACAATATACAACCTCTTTATTAACCATCACAACACAACAAATGTTTTATATGTTTTTAAATGTCAAGTGTTTTATATGTTTAATAGTATTGTATCCAGTTTAATAGTACTGCAGTTCAGTGGTGTTAAACATGTATTTGCCTGATGATGGCTACTGATAGCCGAAACATGTAGCAGAGCTGTAGCTGGGCACTAACCTTGATGTTTGTTGTGTTGTGATGGTTATTAAAGAGGTTGTATCAGAAAACATGTTATGCATGGCACTTATTCAGTTTCGTTTTGGAAGTCATTAACCCTCATTCATCTTCACCAATGTCATTCTTTCCACTATTCCTACTGTCTCTTTCAACTTCATTATCTCCACAATTCCCATCTTCTGCCTCATATTCACAGCTCATACTCTCACGTTTGTTGCCAAGATTCTCAAGTTCTTCCTCACTCTCCACTCTATTCGCAGCATCAGGTATACAGCACCTCTTTATATCCTACAATGATACTTCTGGAGAGATCTGCTGCTATGATGTCTTGATCCACTGGCACAGCTCTTTCGTACTGGGCTTCCTTACTGTCCCAGTGGTGTCAGAACATGGGCCTCTGCCAAGGGCTATTAAAATTGTTTCAAATGACCCTTAAAAAGTAGTTACTATAGGATTCTGACAATGGTGTATAACACACAGAGGTATTGGGTTTTCAGACTTTATCCATCGTCCTGGTTTTTAAGATAACTAGTTAGTTAGTTATTGAAGAGGGTGGGTTTCCCCATGCACTTAGACCTGTATTGGTTCATTGTGCTTCCCTCTATGATTTCTACCAGTCTCTATATCCTACCGGTACTGGTGCTTACCATCAGTCTCGCCCAGCCCGCGAGACCGGCTCTACTAGCTGAGAGGTATCTATAATGCTTCCCCCATCTACCAGAGGTATTAGAGGCTGCTGTTGGGCGAGAAACGTCCGTAATTTGGCTCAGTGACCTCCTTTGGAGATATGAGGTTCTTTTACGTGCCGTAAAGCTACGACACGGGACCCACAGCTTAAAGTCCCTCCTGGAGGACTTGTTCCCTGAATTTTTCCGCCCTTAAAAATTCGATGACCTCCGCCGGGTATTTGAACCCGCGTACTACGAGTCATTTGGTGGGAACATTACCTCTAGAGTATGGAGGCCGCTTTTAAGATAACTAAGAAAAACACGACGTTTTGGAAATTGGCTCTGTTTCCATCCTCAGGTGAGGGAAAACACCTATTCTGTTGGGTCCCTTAGAAAGAGCTAGCCTCAATCACTTGAGGACGGAAACAGAGCCAGTTTCCGAAACATCGTGTTTTTCTTAGTTATCTTAAAAACCCGGACGATGGATAAAGTCCGAGAACCCAATATCTCTGTGGATCCTTAAAAAGCTTAATCACTGATGTGTAGTTATGCTCATACCTCCAGGTATGAAGACAAGGTCTGTAGTCACTGTATGAATCAAAGATCTGATATCCCATGTTAAATGACTTTCAAATGCATCCAGGAAAAACATTCTTTGCTTTCTGAATGGTATCTTGGCCTCCTATTCCAGACAGCACATAATCAATCCCCCAACAGTTCATTTAGTCATCCATCTCTGAGTTTCAAAACTAATTATCAATCACATAGGCAGCTGTGCCTTAGGTATTGTGTTTCAATTCAATATTAAATAGGGTAGTAGTTATGTGATGCCAACTCCACTGTCATGACAGTCACATCATTCCATTGCCCAATGTTTATGACCACAGATAATCACTGGCATTATTTCCTATTTCTGTTGTTTCCACATTCAGACAGTTGCCCCAGAGGACACTGTTCTTTCTTGATGCTTCAGTTGACTGACAGTTCTGTGCATTTAATCACTACAGTCTTCCTGTATGAATCACAACAGCCAGGCCAGATACTTTTTGACACATTATTCCTTTTAGCATTATTAGCTCTTCTGTTGACATGAGCTGTGATCCCCTGGCAAGGAAGTTTCATTTGCACTAAATTTCATGATTTAATTTGTTCCAAACCTGGCACTCTGGACAACCTCACAGTAGCTCTTGGCTTCTGACCTTCAAACACACTTCTGACTATCTTGCTTTCTCAATTTCCACTCTCATGGCAGGATAGTGTGAATTGCACCATGAACATGCTAAAAGCTTAAAACAGACTACAAATCACTTACACAAATATTCATTACCCAACCTTATGACTGTTTTCAAATTGTTAAAAGAGGGGAAGGGTGGGGGAAAAACTTGTCCAAATATGACAATACTCCCTCTGGATATTAAACCCTGATGTGCAAAGCAAATGCTGTTATCAGGAAATTCTCTAAGTCTGAGACTTAAAATTATTTCTTTTGGTTTCAAGTCTAACTTAAAATTATGTTCAAACTGAGATCAAGAAATTTATTTTTTCATTTCAATCTTGGAAATTCAAAACTCACACATGCCTATGATATAGCACAGCATTTATGTGGAGTTTCTAATGAACTTTAAACAGCATTCGTGTTGCAAACTTGCAACTTCAAACACCGATGCATGTACTGATCACACAATCTTAAGCTCGCAAGAAACTAAAATGTTAACATTTGCTTTTCTCACAGTATACGTGCACTATTCATTGCCTGTAGGAAGACTGAGATATTCAAAAAGTGTGGAAAATACAAATACACATGGATTTCTATGAGTGCTCTAACTGTTGGTCCAATAGTTGTAGAGAGAAGGCATGATATCTGTTCATGGGGCCCATTATCTCATGACCTTCATGATGGGCTGCCCCTGGATGGTATGATTCTGTCAAGCAGGAAAAGTTCTGCATGTTGTAGACACAACCATTCTAAGCAAAATACAGTGTGCTCTGACATATATTTAGCTTTTAGAAATATTAGAGGAAAGACAAAGAGGTAATAAATTCTTATCTTATATACAAACTGTGTTTAAGAGGTTAATAAAATAATACTTAATATGAACAGAACTGAGATATTTCACTCACACACAAGTTCTGCACACTCAGGTCAGTTTCAGCTGAAGAACAGCCACCTAACATATTTTTCTTTGACAGCAGTGAAATGATAAGCAAGTACATCTACAAAGCTAAACTACTCACAAATTTGCTTTTCTTTGGAATCACTGGTTGTCCACTATTTTTTTCTAATTCATTAATTGCATTCACCTCCTCTTCTCTTTTCTTTTGCAAATAGTCTTCCCTTTCTTTTATCTGTCTTTCTCTATCAATCTTTTTTTGTTTTTCCCTTTCCATCTTCTCCAAGCCTTCCCTGATCCATGCAGGTAATTGTCTCCTCTTTGCAGCATCTGGAAACATGAGAGCATTACTTTCATTAACTGAGATTCGGAATTGTGCTTTAATTCCATTACACGTTCACTGAAATATGTATAAAATGACATACATCTGGTCCCATTTAGAGTGAAAGAGATCTAATGCCTCAGGTGATTTCATATAAAAATTTTGAAAATTATCAAACTAAAAAACCATTACATACAACCAATTCAGTGCCAAATTTCCATGCAAAAAAATTCACAATTTTTCTTTTCTTTAAAGGTGCAATAAGAGATAATGTAATTTCTTCATATGAAATACAAGGTTCTTGCAATATATACTGCAGGTTTCACCTCTACCATCAAAATCATAGGAAATCACATAGAAAGTGGAAGAACTGTTGACAATAAAAGATCAATCTCTCCACTTTATGCACTTTTCATACAGTAAAATCTTGTTAATTTGAAGTGCCTGGGAAGCTGTAGTCCCTAATGTTATGTTGCAAGCTACAATTGTTTATCTACCAGAAGATCTCTTTATTCTTTCATTTATTTGCAGAAAAATGCAAGCCTGAAAACAGTAATTCACATTTAGCTTTGATCTTGGTTAACTGGTTCTTAAACTATGACTGGCTTTTGTTTCAGAGTGTTCTTATACATTTTTCATACAAAATCTTCATCCATAGCATTAACAATTTTCTCATCAGCATCACATAAATTTATAATACAGTCTAACAGTGACAAAGCCATTAATGCATGTAAGATTTGAGATTTACATGGCTGTGACTATGAAGAATGCCGTCTTCTGGGATGTGGTGCCGTGTAGATATTGTGTAAACCGAAGTTTTGGAGGAACCTGGAGATGGAGGTGATATGTTCCTCCGAAATTTCGGGTTACACAATATCTACATGGTGCCCAATCCCAGAAGATGGCATTCTCCATTAATGCATATTTGCAACCTGGGAGCACTGGAAGCAAATGCATTTCCTGCATCTACTCTTCTCACTCAGTTCCGACATGATTGCAGCTGCAGCTGTCCAAACTTTTCTTCTGATCACTGGTGGTTGGAATCAATTTGTCAACACTGAGAAACCCATTAAACTTATTAAGACAATCCATATGACCTTGAAATCCCACCCATCCATTGTTCCCTCTATCTGCTTCCAAGCTAATGCCACTTAAAGTGCCAACAACCACATCTTACAAAGCAGTTCTAGGTAACTACAGGAATCAATGATTCCCATAACATGATAACACTATGCATGGCATCTGAGATATTCCATTTCTTAATGTCTACTGCAGAAACATTACTGTTGATTTCTTGTAACAGAGAGTTCACAAGGTTCTCTTAATACATTCTTTTCATGCAACAGATAATCCCTTAGTCAAATGGTTGCATATAAATGGTGTTTGGCAGCAAATACAACACGTACATGCTTCAGATTAAGACCCTTGAAAGAGACTGATCTGGTATTATATGGGAATCCCAGTTTTGGTGAGCCATTTTCCTTTCAAAATTGACTCCCTAAATAGCTTTCCAGTTACCCATGCATTCTTAGAAGATTTGTAGTCGCAAGGATAGTGCTTCAAGCCTTTTAGGTAATGTGCTTTTTAAAGTTTCCAACAATCAAAGCATGCAGTACTGCATTATAACACAACAGAACCGTCGCTCTGTTTCTTATACCCTTTCTGTCCTTGGAACGTTTTTTACTTAAAGCTAGTGTTTTCTTTGACTATGCATTGTACACAGCAGTTTTGTCCATGTTCAAAATGTCCTTTGGAGCACATTGTGCAATAATAGGTCTCACATTTTTCACACCATTTCTCTGAGAACTCGATATCAGCAGTAGCACCTTCACCATTTATGGCTTGCCATATGGCCCACCACTCTTCGAAATACTGAAACATTTAAATTCAATGTCCATCTTCAGTGCAATTTTGTGGGCTTTACCTTTTTTCTGTATGACCATCCACTGCAATAATTTTATGCTAGAATTGAAAAACCATTCAAACAGTTCATTCCCCATACCACCATTTTTAGCACCATCTCATTCATTCATTAGTAATCTGTCAGACGACAGATCCACAGTCTCTTCCAAAACAGTTCCTCCACTTAATGTGATCTAGAGCTTTCTCCTTCAAATGAGAATATCCTCTTCTGTCCCCAAGGTCATCCAGCATCTTCTTACGTCTTCTTGTCACTTCTATCTGCACCTCTTATCTTTCCTTCAATAACTTCTTTTAGAAGGCAGTTACTGCGTAAGATATGACCAACCAATTAGCCTTCCACTTTCTCATTTCGTGTAGGATATTCCTCTGCTCACTGACTCTCTGCTATTCTCATCTATTTTCAAACATCACTTCATTAGAGAACTTCTTGTTCAACTGAATTCAGACTATTTAGATATAAGAACAGGGAGGGGGACAGGGATCCCATATACTTGTGCTATTTCACTCTTATTTCTTTTATTGACTTCCTTAATCACTTCCTGTTCTTCAACAGTTGTCTTTTTCAAGTATCTATTCTCCTTCTCACTTATGTTTCACACAAGTGGATGGACTAAAAATGAATATCTATTGTGCAAAATTGATGTGCCCCTAACACAACAGTTATTCTTTCTGACCCATACTAAACAGCAGCAGTGTTGTCATGCAGTTATGAATGGCTGTGACCCATAAAAAGACTGGCTATTCTTACTGGCCACAAGCTCCAGATTACAGTCACACTTCCATAGCTGAAAGAATTTTAGGAGAGCACAACTACTGGAATGAAATGCAGTATCAAATTGAAAAGTAACCACTTTTGAATTAAGCAGTGTAGAAAACATTACAAATTACAAACTTTAAGCAGGGAAGTTTCATTTACTTTAAATTAACAAGTGCTTTTAATTAACTGATACAAAATTAACGTTTTACTGTAACTTTTCAGCAGAACTTTTGCTTATCAGCCCTGATGACTGATATTCCAGAAACATCTACTGATGATAATACAGGCATAAGCCATTTCTAAACCACGCAACTTTCAGCCAACAAAGACTTAGGCAAATTATCTAACATAAAAGCTGTCTTACAAAAATGGCTGAACTTCACTAAATTACATTTTGTTTCATTACAGTTTCATATTTATGTGTTTCAAATATAACAGCAAATCACATCATTTACTATAAGATACCACTTAAGAAAAATACCACCAGTACGCAATGTGATAGCAATACTTGGTTTCTCACAATACAGCACATATCTTACTGTATCAGATTTGATCAATGCGTTGCCAGGCAACAGTTCTGTAAACACAGTCCAACATGCAACAGAGGAAGCTGTATTTTCCATGTCCGCAGTGATGTCACATAACAGTAGGTAGCGGTCACGTGACGTGTTTTCTGTATGTTTGTGCAGTGTGCGTGGGACTGGCTGGATAGTGATCACATGACATGTGCTTCCTGTGATGCATGTCTGTTCCTCAGCTATATAAGTAAGAGTCCAGGAGGGTTCAAAGCAGTTATGAGTAGCAGCGGCAGAAGCACACAAACCAGAGGATAATAGTAAGCTTGAGGAGTACAGAAGAGTACAAGAAGTCAGCCTATGAAGATTTAATGTATGATTTGAAGACTATGTGTTCTGTAGCACAGCGACATCGGGAGTGTGTGAGTTAGTGAGACTTTTATAGTCCGTGTTATAAATTCGTGAAGACTAGAGGAGACAGACTGATGTGAGTAGGGTGGAGTGTTCTGTAGTGTGAAAGTCAGTAACACTGTTATAATTATTTGTAGTTACAACCTGTAAGTATCCAATAAATACAATTACCAATCCGAAACCTTTCTTTAGTCACTGTGACACATGACATTATTAAAGAACAAGGTATTCCAGTAAATATGGCGCTAAAAACTTATTCCATTCTGTATAAACATGGTGTGCATCCTGAAGTTATACACCATCACATTACAGAGCATGAACCTCGGTCCTTCGCAACTTCACTAACTTTGTCTCTAAGTTAACGATGTGTGTGAACATTATGTTAAGAAGATTTTACATGGGGCACATTGAACAGAAAAATAACTCACCTAGGATCACATACAGTGAAATCTCTATAATAAATATCTGTGGGAATAACTTCTATTACACTAAATCAGGGTCTTTGCCAAATGGGAGTTATACAAAATTACATGATGAAACTCATCTTCTTCTGAGACTTACTGTATATAACTAAGGTAAAGCAATTTATTTACAAGTGTAGTTACATAATATAAAATAAAAACTGAAACAGGGTAACTGTTTCTATGCAAATAAATACAATTACATAATAACATCAAATTAATTTCTAAAATAATGAAAGAATATGAAATAAAAAGTATTAAAGTATTAAACATGACCAGCGACACACACACACACACACAGGGAGCCTGCACAGAATAATATATGAACGGTGCTGAAAACAAGAAATAGCCGCTGCAGCACATGTAGACAAGAGCAGGTGTCCCTGGTATTTAAAACTTTAAATTTTACAATTATAAACAATAAACAAATCAACTTTTAAATTTTAAACTGTAATTCTAAAATCAAACTGACATGCGTGTGTTGGCGAGATTTTAAAACAAAACTGACAGGCTGATGTTTTAGATTTTGGACTGTGTGCAGTGTGACAGCTATATGGTGAAAAATACACCTGATGGCCAATTACAGCCAAAACATGTAGTGTAGAGGAAGAAAAGACAAAGATCTACAACCACATAAATTGTTGCATTCACAACGACATTTGTATTACATATAGAAGTGTATAGTGCAACAGGATGCTTAAATATATGAAATAAACACTGAAAGAACCTCAGCCAAGAATCAAGGCAAGTATAATTCCATAAGTAACATGGCTTTCATACATCTACAATACGTGACTGATTTGCCACATAGTCATATTATAGTTGGCCGCTAAAAATTTCCATTTGAGAGAAATATAAATATCAACTGTTGCTTTAACCAAAGTCACACTAAGTTCAGGAATGAGTTCTGGAAGGTCAAAGTTTCTTAAACTAAATGTGGGATTTTACTAAATCAAAGATCACTAAATGCAGAAAAATAATAGACTACTTATGCTGGGCTCCAGCTGGAACCAGAAAAATATTCACTAAATGCGGGAAATAACTAAATGTGGGAATACTTTGATAGGATTTAGCTGTATACTGAATGTTAAATCGGGGGAAATCTAAACTGAGTAATATGAAATGGTGATCCAATCTACCTAGAACAGGAACTGTATCTTCTTCGTCATCCGACTTCTCTGTTGTTCGTATACGGTCATGGGAACGGTTATTCCTCCTCCAGTCATGTCGGTTATGCCTAATGAAGGGAGATGGATCAGTTTCAGGACCTGGGGGTACACCACCTGTATCTGCTGGGCCGCCTGGTGTCCAGTAGCCACTAGCCATAACCTAAAAAACAGAATGTATATAGCCCTCCTTTCCAGTCAAAGCACCATAAATTTGACAATTACATAAATGTTCCAATCCTGTTGAAAATCAAACTGGAAAAAGCAACACTGAATTTGAATTTTCCACTGGTTCTTGTGCTCGCTGATTGAAGATACAAATCCATCTTTCTTGAAGAAACGCAAATATCACACAACACAATAACAAATTATATTACAACAGACAGTAAATGCATGCAAAATGTTTATGGATAAACCATGTGGAGTACCAAGAAGATGGCAATAAGATGATCTTAGGGCAACAAACTGATCACTAAAATGTGACAGGCTGTACAACAAGAAACAGAATGAAAAAGTAATATTACAATATATTCTGCCATTTATAACATTAACATGGACATTAACATGTCCAATTCATAGGCGATAGTCAACAAAAGTGGTGGCAAGTACATTCACCTGCAGACTGTACTGGAAGATCCAACGAGTACAAGGAAACAGCCAGAAAAAGAAGGGGGATTTGAACTGGAAAGGAACGATACAATATACAAGTTCAATAACTAACATTTCACTGTGCCAAGCACCTTATTTCACACTGTAATATTCCTTTCAAATGCAGTAGGTTTTTTTTATTAACATTTAAATTGCATATTTACAATCTGCTCTCAATTTTATGGAGTAATAAGTAAATATGCTCTACGTTGGTGTGTTGAGAAGAGAAATCATCCACTAATGATACTCTCACAGGTCCTGTAGCGGAACTGTAATGGCTTTATAATGGACAGTAAAGTTGAAGACATACCAAGGTGTGTTGGTTATTAAGCACAACACTTCAGACTGGAATCTCTGAATTATTTTGGTGTTTGATGGTTAAATGCAGTAAGTGAAGGAATTCTATTACTGTAAATAATCTAAATTGTGTAACTTTCATATAGTGCTGAGGTCAAGAATGGTGCAACTATACCTCCAATCCCCCTGTATCTTCATGGCATAGGGCTTAATTACTTAAGCACATCATATCATAAATAGGTATAAAAGTGCTCTACAAGATTACATTTCCACAAAATGGAAACAGGAGTAAACCGGGCAATAATTCCGAATAAAAAAATCATACACAAATATAAACAAACCAAAAACAAGTATGTTTCATGTATATACATGGTAGAGTCATTAAGTTCGTGGAATGTGGTTTTATCACATCATATTACAAGGTATTCATATACACTTACACAGATCCACATCGGCCCTCAAAATAGTTGCCGTTGGATGCTATGCAAGTCTGCCAACATTGATATAGCTGTCTAAACATTGCTGAAACATATTGGCAGTAAATTCCCATATGATGCTTTGCGGCCATTCCACGAAGTTATTGACTATGGTAGTATATTCTTGTATGTTTAGGACATGTAAACCGGGAGGGGGGGGATGACATTTAACCCGCTTTTGCTCCAAGTACCTGAAGCTACAAAATTATTTGTAGGACACCAAACATACTATACCATGACGAAGTTAACGTAACTGGTATTGTGTATCCCTTGCTTTGAGTTTGGTGTGGTTTTGGAATTTATTTCAATTTTTTCTGCACACTTGTAACAGAAGTTACAACTGCCTCCCTGCTTAACCCTTCAAATCTGGCTCTAGTACACATATCATGGCTACTTGCCTTGCCAAGAAACCAATGGCAAACACATGTATCACCATAAATTTAAAAATCTGCGGTAAAAAAACTATCCGCAACATTAACAGAAGTTTCACAGTCTGACAGCTCAAAACTTGTAGCTTTATGTTCAAAAGTAGAGGAGGTTTCTGTATAACAGCAATGTGAAGTACCACCATGTTTATGTGGTGATTCAGTTTGTCGCATAGCGTGCACTATGATAGACTAATGTCACCACATAGAGATATGACGTATGGATACAAACACACGGCTCCTGACAACTGGAATGTGCTTAATTAAACCACTAGTAATAAATCTTGATGTAATTAAGTTTCAATTAACTTCAAGTTTTCCCTTTGACTATAATTTAAAATATTATATTGTTATACAGACATATGTATCGTGAATCTGTACGGTGTTTCAAATTAATGTTGATGAAACGTCTGATGATGGCCATGACAGGATGAACCATATAAGAAAATTTGTGTCTTCACAATAAAATAAACAACAAACATCTAAATGAATATATACTGTTTACATATATATCATACATTGTGACAGAACAAGATGCATGTAGTTAAGCTAAGGTGATATGACTTACCTGACCATAATGTTCTGATCCGGGGGCACGATTATAATCATATACCCCTGTGCTACTGCCATATGTTTGAGAACCATGCGGGAAACCATACGGAGGTACTCCCACTGAACCACTAGATGAAGATCCTTTCCCTGTGACAAGAGCCTGACTGGGTGGAGGAACACCTCCTGGTGGCACTATGCCCCCTGATGTACCCCAATTCCAGCCCCACTGCTGCCAATTAGGCCATGTTCCCCAAGAATTAGTTTCTGAAACAGAAAATTTTACAGTGTACATGAACTACCACAGTACTGGCATTAAAGTATTGGAGAACATTCTTTATTACTGGTTATAACAAATATACAACAGTCAAAATCCTAATTTCACACATCTCTGACCAGTGGTTCCCAACTTTTTCAAGTATGAGGACCACTTCCTAAATAAAAAAGAAATGCATACCCCTGCATGCTAACAGATATGGATTTCAGCTCTGCTAATTGATAAACTACATAATGACAAAAGACTACTACAAAATCAGTAATTGTTGCAAATGAATTCACAGTTCATTCATCACAATAACGAATATATACATTTGAAGAATAGTAGTATATATGCAAGCATCAGAGTCTACAGGAGACATTTATACAGTGTGTCCACAAAGCCCTGTCAGGGTTTTGAAACATTGTGGCATGCAAACAAACTGCTCAGCAGACAGCATAGACAACACTGTTTCCAACAGTTCTTTTATTGTTGTATGCACATCTGTTGACAGACACACATTTAGCATGTTGTTACCTAGCAACGACCATGTCTACATATTCCATTACTCCAGCTTATCAGCCATTATGTCACAATACGTTATGGGACAAGATATCATGTATTTCACAACCTTACTGGATAGTTTTGGACACTCAGAACGAATGTGTAGCCGGAGGTCTGCCAGATGCTTCTGGGTGAAGATTAGCTTTACAGAGCTGTCATGTGAAAATTCTGTTATGCTCTCAAGCTCCTTTGATGTCAGGTGACATATGACATTATCAGCATCCAATAAGGGGTTTCTCAATTGGTCTACCTTCATTCAGAAACAAGAAAGTATTCATGAAGTTGCACTTTGAGGCTTTGCAAGCATTCAAGTATGTATAATATTTTACGATGTCCAAAAGCTGAACTTTTGATGCAATGAAAAAATCTGAAGGTCATGAAAATGACCTTTAGTTTGGACTCAGCAAAGACACCACGGACCCAATTTCTTGATCACAGCTTCTCTTTTGACCATAATTCTGCAGACACTTATAATGTACCTTGGAAGATACATAAGTTGGATCTATTAGGGTCCATTTGTCTATAATCCGTCTAAATTGCAACACTTTTTATTTTGCACTTCAATACACTCTCTAACACTACATGTTTCGGCCTCAAACGGCCATCTTCAGGTGTTTTTCTTTTACAGATATTCAATTAAGATTGTGTCGAAACTGCTACACTGTTTCACTGTTCCAAGTCATTTTAAAAAAACCATATGCTGTAGTCTTCTTTTCAATTAAAATGAGATAAAATTCTTTTATAATTTGTTACTTATTGTAAATCCTACACAGCTTCCATTTCAACTATCTTAAAAACTGTTAAGAATTACAGGAAAAGCACAGTAGTCAAGAAAGGTATGACTAATTTTTCTCTATTAACGTTTGATTGGAACATTTTTCTCTGATAAATATTTAGTAAGATATGCCTGAGATGTAGATCTTCATTTACAGTATGCATCAAATTGTATCATCCAAATAAAACTGATTATGGCTTGAAATTTTCCCATAAATTCCCCAGTATCAAATCTCATACAAAACCTATCATCTGTAAACAGAGGCACATTTGCTAAACAAACTTCATCGCAGGATTCTATATGAGCACTATCAGTATCCATAAAAAAAGGTAAAGTTGTCCCTGTGCTTAATTAAGCACTAAGCCATGAAGACATATGGGAGAGTGGAGGTACAGTTCCACTAATCTTGACCTCAGCACTAGATGAAGGTTAGTGGTCAGCTTCACATCCCAGCTCCTTTACCCCTGGTGGAAGAGCTCCTGGTATCCATTGGATAGGATGCTGACTGGGCCTCAGGGCTAGTCTGGAAGCTGTGGAGGAGGGAAAAATATTGCTCCGGCTGGGAATCGAACCCTGGTTGTCCAACCCGTAGTCCTTCACTATACCGACTCCTATTACTACTTATAGCATCCCTGCAAAGTATAAATCTTTCAACTGCATGCAGAACACATTTCCCAAAAAGTGAGAGTCGTTTTTGTAACTTTCCCCCTTACAAATTAGACAGGACTTTATAAACACCTGACTCAATCACATTTCCATAGATACAGCTACAATTTATAATTTAAATTACTCCACCTGGAGTATTAGATGAACTTGAATTTTCTGGCTCATCTTTGGTGTCCATATCCATAGGTGCCTCCCCTCCTTCCAATTCCAAATCTTTCTTTTTTTCTCCAGATTCTACTCTGTCTCCAATGGGCGGTGGTGGTGGAGCAGGTGGAATCTGATCTGCAGGAAGTGTTTCCTTCATCTGGATCCACTGCTGTGCTAAAGCTGCCCAATCAACTGTTCCATAAATTAAATATCCTCATTATAAAAATCTGACAAAGAGATGATAATTGTCCATATTCATTAAAAATACAGGGCTGGTTCACAGTCAACTTGGATTTCATTATTTTCCTGAAGATGTGAACTCCAGAAAAATAACTCCTCTATGGACAGCTGGTGGCAACACTGTAATCAATGTCTTGCAGGTGGCCACGTGCACTGCTCCAGTGAATAACAGCTAATATAAGACAGTGTCAGACCTTGTCACTCTTAGTGTAGAACAGCACTGTATCATCAGATTTCTAGTGAAGGAGAAAATGAAACCAGCACAAATTATTTCTAGTTTAAATCAGATTATGGGAAGAGACCCTGTCATGTGCAAGTGTCTATGATTGGAAAGATAAGTCTCCTGAAGGCCATAAAGAAGACTTGAACCTATCACATGTTCACGTTCAGCAAAGAGCTGTATGCGATGTGAACATTTGCGGCATCAAACAGCCGATAGTGGGAAACAAGCAAATCACAGTGCATGATATTGCATCAAACAGTGGCATACATATTGGAAGTGTAGGAACAATTATCTATGAACAATGATTTGATTTGATCCCAAAGATATTAACATTCAACAAGAAGGTGCAGCATGTTGCCTTGTCTGCCAAATATCTGTAACAGTTTGAACCGGAAGGAAACACATTTAAAATGAAAACTGACTCCTGACGAGTCTTCACTCCAGAGCCGAAGTGGTCCAGCATGAAAAGACATTACAAGGATCTTCATCATCAAAAAAATTATGACACAGCAGTCAGCTGTTAAGATCATAGCAAGTGTATTTTGGGATTCACGAGGAGTGATTTATGTTGATTTGCTTCCACACAGTGTAGCAATTAATGTACAGTATTACAGCATCTTGCTTCTCAGTGAAGTGCACCAAGTAATGTGGAAGAAAAGACCTGTGAAACTGTCATATAAAATCATCATACTGCATGATAATGCTGTCCAAATATGGCAAAACTGATGATTACAGCGGCAATAATGGGCCGAGAAATAATGAACCGCCCTCCTTACAGCCCTCACTTAGCCTCAGTGATTTTCATTTGTTTGGACCACTGAAAGTGCAGCCAGGAGGACAGAAATTTCAAACCTGATGAACTCAAACATGGTGTCCTAATTGGCTACAGTCAGAATTAAACTCTTTAACACAGCTGGAACCAGTAACTTGGCGGAACGATGGTAACGATATTAGTGTAAAGGGAGAATATCTTCAAAAAGACTGAGAGTTTGGCCTGCACAAATATTCTTTTTGTTAAATAAAACTCCAGGTCAACCTCAAACCAACCTCATATACAGTATTTTATTTTATTGCACATTTACAGTAATAACATTACCATAAATTATTTCTCTGTCTCTCACTCATAACTTCTAAACTAACCAATATTATAACACTAGAGGTAACCCCACTTTTCTAACAGATAATACACCTTGAAGAGTGTATAGGGCTAATACCAAACCCCAACACTTGAACAAGACACTCAGCTAGTTCCAGTCAAACAGCTGCTTTTTTTATAAAAGTCAAACCGAACTCTGCACCAACATGACAAACACTTTCCAACGGGTAAGAGCACCAAAAGATTAAACATAGTCTGTACCAAAGTACACCATCATATATACTTTCAAGCCAATTCCAAATCTGCAAGCGAACTATACTGACTGAACGACCACCGCTTATCAGCGAAGTCAGTGCCAACTTTTGCAGATAGAGGGTGTCATGTGGTCAGCGCACTGGATCCCCATGGCCATTAATCTCAATTTTCTAGACTGGAGCCACTATTTCCTTGAAACAGCTCCTTAACTATCCTCATAAGGCTGAGTAGACCCCATTCCAGACCCACTACTTCACAGAAAATCTGGTAGCACAGGGAATGGAACCCAGGACCTCTGGATCTGTAGCCAGGAACTCCGACCATCAAACCACAGAGGCGGTCTTGAGAATAACATTATATGCTAAAATAATTATCATCACCTCAAAATCATATATTTTGCTCTAATAAACTTCCCCCCCCAAAAAAAGAACACTGTACAGGAAAGGACATAAAACCTTCATTACACTCATAACCACCCCACTACTACAAAATTAAGGAAAAGAATTTAGTTAGGAAGAATTATTTTGTTGTATAATCACGTTATTATCATGAAGTTCATACACGATGTAACATTTTCAGACTGAAAATCTTATTGATAGAGTTGCATACCTTCCTCGTGGGACACATTCTGGTATGTCGATGGGTTCAGGGCCCATTGGGAATACTGCGGATCACCCGACCACATGATGATAAATCTTTATTACCTTACTTTAGAGATATACCTGAAATGTAAAGTTCATTGTAACAGGTGAATATCACTTAATTAATTTCATACAACAGCAAATACATGACAGGGACTCCTCAATATATCTTCACAGCATCAGAGCATACCCAGAACGAGACCTCTTATCCAGTAAGCTTTGGACCTAGGGCTTCATGGATTTTGAATCACTATACTTTTATCATAAGTGATTATACCTTGCTTGAAGGTAGGGGAATATCCATGTTCCCTTATTTCTACTAAAGTTCACATTACATAACACCACTAATGAAATCACTGTCAAAAGTACAGTTTGCATGCTGTCAAAAAAGGTGACAATATAGTAAAGTACTAATTACTTTGCACACAGCAAAAAAAAAAAAAAACAAACAAATTACGTGACCTGTAGTCCGCAAGTGAACTATACTGACCGAGCAACCACCACTTGTTGATGAAGTTAGTACCAACTTTTGTGGATAGAGGGTGTCACGTGGTCAGTGCAACAGTTCCCCATTGCCGTTAATCTCGGTTTTCTAGAACGGAGCTGCTATTTCCTTGAAATAGCTCCTCAATTATCCTCACAAGGCTGAGTGGACCCCATTCGAAACCCACTATTTCTCAGAAAATCTGGTAGCGCCAGGAATCGAACCTGGGACCTATGGATCTGTAGCCATGAACTCTGAACCACTAGACCACAGAGGCAGCCTTGCATACAGCATTTTCAATGAGCATTATGTTAATTACAATGATAAGTAACACACTGTCACTAAAAAGGTCAGTTCTTCAACAAAAAAACCTGAAATCTCACACATTTTACTGCTGCTTGAACACCAAATTCTGAACACATATAGAGAGCGAGCATTCTAAATCTTGGTGAGCAGTCAGTTTCACAATTCTACCACTTCACTCTTGACTCTCCAACTTGCCAACATAAAATAAAACACTATCATATCAATATAACAGAAAATATGTCAGAAATCATAAAGACAAAATAATCATCAGGAACATATGAAAATCATATATTTCATCACAGTGACCAATTACTTATGCCTCTACAGACTGTTAACCCCACATTGTTCAATTCTGACATAAAAAATGCATGTGTTTGATGACTTCAGATGTCGAAACATTATAGTATGGCTATATGTATAGTTAAAAAATTAGTGTCTGCATGCGTAGCACATATCTCTCTATATGTTTCAGGTTCTTCAAGAACACGTAGTTCCACAAATTGCTTTTGTGATTTATTTCACAGCGTTGTGAATGATACGATGATCTGTGAATAACGGATTGGAAGGGATGTGGAAGGAAAATGTCAGCCTAAACTGAGGTACTACCTTGGAATTCTGACTGAAGGGACCAAGGGAAANGAGAAAAAAAAAAAAAAAAAAAGAGAGAGAGAGAGAGAGAGAGGAGGAGAAGGAGGAGGAGAAGAAGAAGAAGAAGAAGAAGGGGGGAGTAGGAGGAGTAGGAGAAGAAGAAGAAGTCAGGATAGCTATGTCTTGGTGGCCCCCCCCCAAAAATAATAATAAGTAATTATAGAATTTAATTAAGAGAGAAAATACACATGTATTACTAACAGCTTCTTCTTTAAATACAGTTCACTGTATGCTGTTACAATGGAGCAAGCTGTGATATTGAAACAGAGCAAGCAAGAAGAAGACTGTGGGAGCAGAATGGTCTAAGAGATACTGTGGTGTAAGAGACAGTTATAAAAACTCTGAGAAAACTCCTAGCAACTGATTCTGACTCAGACTTAGAAGGCATCCAACCCTCCCCTGCCTATCTGAACTTTAGTAGAGTAGGTACATACTTAGCCATGATACTTTAATATTGTGAGACCTTGTTACTCTACTCAGATGTGGAAAATCTCTGCCTGATAATTAGAATTAGACCTATGCCCTGATAGTCACACATTTACCCTGAAATTGACTGTACCTTTCTTAGTGGGAAGGAACTAGTGAGAACTAGAGAACCAGTCAGTAAAACACTGCATGAAAGCATATAAATGCCTTTATGTCAAGCTTAAACAAACAATAAACAAACTGTATATTTCATGTTTTAATACAGTTAAACTACATATCAGCAGACATCTGTAGCTGTACCAGCAAAGTTAACTAAGTATTCTTTTTCCATCCATTATGATTGAGTTAGGTCCAGTAAAAGGTAAAGCTGTCCCTGTGCTTAACTAAGCACTACGCCATAAAGGCATTTGTGGGAGTGGATGTATGGATCCACATTTTCTTCACCTCAGCACTAGTTTGAGGTGAGTGGTCAGCTTCACGCCCCAGCCATTTTACACCCCAGGAAAGAGCCACTGGTACCCATTGTACAAGAAGTTGAGTGGACCCCAGAGCCTGTCTGGACGACATGGAGAAGTGAAAATTCTTGACCCTACCAGGACTCAAACTCCAACCTCTCGGTCATCCAGCCCATAGCCAGTCACTATACTGACTGTGCTATCCCAGCTCATCACATCTAAAATCCATATTAGGTCTATTAATAAATGAATCTAAGCTCAACTACATGATCACCATATTGTAAAGCTCCATTAACTTTATATTGTTATGTGCAGATGCACACACATATGACAAAAACAATTATATATAAACTGAAATGCTGATCAGTCATTTAGGAACAAAGGAATGTTATGAATATATGTACAGGAAGGCAAACAAAATATCTATCAAATATTTCAATGGGAAAATCATATCCTTAACTTAATGCAAGAGAAGGAAAAGTTCATGGAAAATTTAGCAGCAGTTTAGGCTGTATTCCTTTTATTTAGGGACTTATCAGACATGCTTCAGATTTTTCACTGTGTTACAAGCCAAAAGAATATGACATGGTTTTAAGAGTTTGTTATAGCACAGACAAGTCTTTATTTACTCAAAATAATACTACCATAAGAATATGAATTTCTGTGCTAACAATGTTAGGTTTCTCGATGAAGCAGTAGCTGTGCATTATCATGAATCTGCATGAAATAAAATCATACTAATTACGTGCATGCAGTACCCAAAATCTAGCCCTTACACAGAACTTAAGAACCTAAGAATAAATGCGATTATCATAAATTGTAATAAACTGAACACACTTGCGTATAAATATTCCCAAATGTTACTCCTGCGTCTTTTCATTACATAGCCTTACTTACACATCTATGTAGTGTACAATGTCCTACAAATACATATTTGTGAAAGAAACACTAAACCCAACAGGTACTAGTAAACGTGGATTTTTGTTTTCACTATATGATAGAAGTTGTCTTCATTTTTAATAGGATGACTTTTTTAATGTTATACGACGTCAGAAGCACCAACACAACCCCGAGATCATTTATTTTCCTTTTTTAACTTTGGATGAGCTTCTAAATGGAAGCCATATTCACATCAAGCGCACACACACACACAAGCATAAAGATATAACGCATTGATTTCAAACCTTTCAGCGAACTATTTCCTGAGCCAGATTACTTTCAAACAATTAATACAATGCGTAAACTACAGATATACTGTTTTAAAGAAATCGACTACAACACCATTTGAAATCTTATCAATTTCAATCTACATGCGAAAAAACTAACACACTCCATAGACTTTGACTGCAGATAATCGAATAATATCGCCGGTCTCGATGTGACATATCCTAATACAATCGATACCTACACGAAGATGTAGCCAACATAACTTTCTAACGCTTATTAAGTATTAGATGGAGAATGTATAGTGTTAGATTACAGAAGAAACGAAAAAAATTGGAAATCTTGTCATTGTAATTAGTATAACTAAAAAAACTTTGTTGGAAATGTGTAATAGGTGATATGACTTTTGTACGCGTAACTATTACGGGAGAATTGGTGCACAACACGTATAGCTTATTCTTGTACTAGAGGAATATAAGTGATTTGTGCTGCATAGTGCGAAGGCGTTTTGTTTTTGGTGTGTAGGTATGTTGTTACTTTATGTGCGTAAAGAAACACAGACTTCAAACGCAGCTGTGTTAGCAGAAAGGTATGGTTTCATACTTAGCGAAGTATTTTCGTTACACTTAGCGAGGTTTTCTTTCGATTATTTCATCGTGTCTTCCTTCATGTTAGGTTTAGGTTAAATATGACATTTTAAGTGATTAGCCATGAAGTTAGCGACTAGAATGTATATTAACCCTACTGAAGCACGGTTTTATATTCGAACTTGCTTACGGGGACGCATCAGCTATTTGTGTGTTTATCACGTTAATTTACTGTGCTTTGTGTTTCTTAAATTAAACCACTGTCATGAATGCTTATAATATGTATTTCAGGGCTGGGGTCATTTTGACGAAACATTCCTAATATTGGGTTCTCATTTAGAAATAAAAGAATATTTGGTTAGAATACCTGAGACAAAAAGAACTTCTGGAAGACCTGGGCATGTATGTATTGTCATGTATTAGTGACTGGACACGGAGTTTGGATTCATAGTTGGAAATACTGAACGCTTATGATTCGTAACTACAAAAGTTACAACACTCGCACTAATCTATTTGCTCTCTAAACCAGTACAATCTCGGTTTGGTATGTCATCACTACTAGTTGCTAGGTAGCGGCTTTTAACAACAGATTCACGGCCAACCACCAGTTATGAAGTCATAGTCAACGTTACTTTATGCTAATCCTTCGAGCCATAATATGGCCTCGAGGTTGACTCAGCCTCTGAATGGAATGAGTACCATGAATCTTCCTGGGGGTAGGGGGCAGCCCATGCACAAGGCTGACAACCTTATCGCCATCTGTGAGCCGACTTTCTAGAAATTATAGTCAGAGTAACTTTATGGCTGATGGTTTACCACTGATCAGTTCGTCTTGGCACCAAGCTCCTTGAGGATTGCAACCAGTCTCCCCCCCCCCCAATTGAACCCTTATGTCCATAATCCTTTCTTCAATCGTTTTTATATACCGCTCCACCATGACCCGTAACTGCGGGTGCATGTCTTACTTCCAGGCATTGAACACTTCCTGCATAAGACGAGACTTGAAGTTACAGCCCTGGTCACTGTGTAGCTCCCGCAGTACTCCAAAGCGGCTAAAGCCGGTATCCAGGACTTCTGCCACATTGATGCTGCCTGGTTCAGGACTGCATAAAGCTACAGCCACTTAGTGAAATAGTCCACAATGATAAGGAGGTATCAGTTTCCCTGGTTGCTCCATGGGAATGGCCATGCTACATCGATGGCTATCCTTTCAAATGGCGCCCTGAAGTTGTACTGATGCATTTGGCTCTGAATCCTGTTTGTGCCACAACTGGCTGCACATATGTGACACTGCCGACATAACTTCTCAACACTGTTTCATGCCTGAAGCTAGTAGTACCTTTACATTCTGACTTCTGAGGTCTTGTTGACACCAGGTGTCTTTCTGACAGTCCACCATGTTGTTTAGCCAATACATCCTTCACTTTGCTTTGGGGGGGGGGGACTGTCAGATATTCTTGGTCAGCTGTCAGCGGACTTCCAGTGATGCTTCAATGTGTCATCCCTTGTTGCCCAGCTACTATATTCTGCCATGGTCTTAAACTGACAACAGGCCAAGACACCAAAGATACCGACCCATCAGACTTTGGTGTCTCTACTGTAGCTACGCCAGTTTATGAACTGCCAGAAAAGCCATGCTCAGCTCAGACTTCGACTTCCACTAGTCTTGTCTCAAGTTCACGCCACATGGCTTCTACTGTGGTCTTTATTGCTTATATGTCACTCTATGTTCCTTGAATCCTGAGGCTGAGCTTTTTGTGAAGGCCCTACATTGTGGCCACTATCTTGGTGGTGAATTTCACACAGAGGCTCTTGGTCTGTGTATCAAGGCACATCATCACTACTTGTAAGCCCAGCTGCATTTCTTCGATCTTTGCATTGAATTCCTCGCAGATGAGCTATGTATTAGTTTATTTTATTTTATGCTATTCTTCTGATACTTCCTTCTTCATAGGCCCAATTGTTCTCCTCAGTATGATACTAATACTACATTATGACTACAGTCTTTTAGGATGTAACATCATGTAGTCTGGTTGATGATCACAAACTTTTCAGCTGGTTACCCTGAAGATGGAGACGTGTTCCTTAAAAACTGTGCTAACCATTGACCATATAGCATGACATCATATCCCAGAAGACTCAGAAGGACCTCAAATTTCACACAAAGTACCATGATTCCTGTCCATGATTTATGCTAACCATCTTACAGTGCATACACTTTCTCACCTTACTCTTCTCTTTTGCACTACATGTTTCAGCACTAATGTGCCATCTTCAGGCGTGTTTTCTCTATGCACGTCTAACTACTGCATTGCATGCCTTGATGTCTTCATACTAAAATGACTAAAATATATATTCGTCATATATAATAATAGATTTTAAATATATATTTTAGTCATTTTAGTATGAAGACATCAGGGCATGCAATGCAGTAGTTAGACGTGCATAGAGAAAACGCACCTGAAGATGGCACATTAGTGCTGAAACATGTAGTGCAAAAGAGCAGAGTAAGGTGAAAAAGTGTATGCACTGTAAGACGGTTAGCATAAATCATGGACATGAGTCAGTGCAACAGGACACTAAAATATAACATTACCATGATTCCTTCTTTCTTTTCTTTCAGTTGATTTAGAAAAATAAGGAATGGCTACAAATATTGGTGGGAATTTGGGTCAGCCCCAGATTGCTGTCACAACCATAGGTAATATGCAAGCTGGAACAGGAGCAGCAGTAACAATGCCTGGTCACCTGCCACAACAGCCTCCCGCACAACAGCAGACTGTTGGCACAGGCATCAACACACCAATGGAAGTAGAATCTGCAGTACAGTCTGTAGGTGAATCTTGATGACATGAATTGAATCAGAATGAGATCATGTTAACCTATCAGGAATAGAATTCTGTCCCTTCTTTCAGTTGATTTCTTTGCTGTATACTACCACATCATATGCATGTCATGACTTCACATTGCATATCATTCATAAAATGTCTAGGTGTGCTCCTTTGTGAGTAGCAGTGATCTGCAGGGCTGGGGACATGGTTTGTGGCTGATACACACAAGTAGGAAATTGATCCTCTGAAGGTTACAGCAACATTTCTGAAGCAAAATTATGCTGTAGGTGCATTCATGAAGAGAAAAATGTGAAATGGCTGCACTTAATTTTGAACAAAGGATGTTTCATAATATTGTGACGTGTATAGCCATTGCTAGGCAATGACTCAGTAAACATGCCTCAACAATAGAGAGGCTGTTTTCTGTGTGGCCTGTGAGAGCCCTCGATGAACGAGGATGTGATTCCACAGGAGCTGCTCGAGTTGGACAGACAGTGATGGGCTTGTCAATCTGATAGCTTTTCTGGATCTCAACTGTCCCTTTGATTACACCACATTTGAGTCCATGTTTAAGGCAGCTGAAGAGGATGGAGTAGAACAAGGTGTGATAAGATGGATCCACGCCATGTTTGGAAGTTTGTAGATTATTATGACAGTCCAAATGTGCTGCATGATGAGGATGTCCGTTGATCAGAGGTATGTGCATGTGTGGTTCTCTCCTCCCTGCTGTGGAGCCTGTGATGCATAGCCTGCTTGTACAGCTCAGTAGAGGGTCAGTACACATAAGGCTGATCTGATGACATGGTCTTGTGAATAGCTGGAAGTTATCCAAGTACTGTTTCAGTGGTCCTGCAAAGGGCTCTGAACATTTATAGAAGGCTAATGCTGGGCCAGAAAGCTGTCTGTCAATCCTGACAAGATGGAACTTGTGCATTTCACCAAGAGGAAGAAGGCAGACGAGTTTCTAGAGCCTGTGATATTCTGCTGTGCTAGTGAATATATAATGGTTATCCTGGATGTTATAAGTTGCATCACATAAACCTGGAGAAGGTATGATACACATACCAGGCTTTAATGCGTGCTATAACCACTTCATCCATTGGTTAGAAGAGCAATGTGATGGGAATATGAACACCTTAATACTTTCCCTAAGATCAAAAACATTTGGTTGGTGACCATGAGCATTTTCCATAAGAACAAGAATTTTAAAGTGAATTTTCTCCTTTTCAGAATAGGTCTTCATGCTAGAGGAAGATAAGGAGTGTAGTACATTTGTGGACTTTTAGGTTTTGTTCCATGCATCACACCTACTATCCAATTTCCTATAGGCTGATTGTCCCTCACCAACCATTGTTTAAATAAAAAAACAGGCGGGCTCTTGTACCATGTATCACTAATTGTAGTATTTTCATGTTCTTTTGTTAGTCTGTGGTATCATCAGCCCAAGTAAGTGGCTCCTCCACTGCAGGACTGGGAAATCTCCAATCAGTAGTGGGATCTGGTATGGGCAATGCAGTTACCACCTCATCTGTTGTCACCATGTCGTCACATTCTCCTTTAACAACAGCACTACAGAGTGGGAACACCAACACTCAGCCTTCCACAAATACTATTGGAACACAGGTTAAGAGTTCATCCACAACTGCCACCTCCTCCACCACAGTGGTTCCGCATGAAGTTCAGGCTCAGGTAGCTATATTGTTGTAAGCAGGATGCTGGAGCCACTGTAGGTCTGATGCTTGCTCTGTGCTCTAAAATACCTCTCCTGAGAACTTAAATTGGTCTACTGTAGTCATGGTTGCAGTAACCTTCATGAAAACTTTATGGCTGCCATCCCCTCCCAAAACTGCCCTTAGCAATGAGATAGAATACTTGGAATTGTAAAATCCTTTCAGAAGTGACTTTTGAAGATTCAAAAATAAAGTAACGGTAGTGTAATTAGAATATTACAAGACTGATACTAGTGTCTGTTCCTTACCCAAGGATCAAACTGCCGGGCAGGCCGTGCCATAGCTCAGGCGGTTAGTCACTGGCTTTTCACCGCGGTGGCCGGGGATCGATCCTGGGTCTGGTCAAGTGGGATTTGTGGAGGACAAAGTGGCGCTGGGGCAGGTTTTCTCCAAGTACTTTGGTTTCCCCTGCTAGTCTTCATTCCACCAAGTGCTTCACAATCACCCTCACCTATCATCTGGGGCTGGTACAATAGGCCAAAAGTGGCCGTAGTACAAGGGAATGGTCTGATCTGACATGTTGAAACCTTCACTAATTTTTTTCACTGCAAGAGTACACACACAACAAAATCCACTGTCAAAATTTTAGCTGCTAATACGCACTACAAGTATTTTTTTAAAAATTGCCAAAGTTGCTCATTTTTTCTGTATGCAGAACCGCTTGTACCAGGGGTTCGTACAACCCCAGCCTAGGCTGTGAGTCAGCCGTGTTGCATGTTGCGTACTGTTCTGCTATGGGTGGACATTTCTCCAAGGGTCTGGCAGGCTACAATATTGTCCATGTTCAGCAATTTTTAAAAAATACTTGCAGTGTATTAGCAGCTAAAATTTTGACAGTGGATTTTGTTGTGTGTATTCTTGCAGTGAAAAAAAAATCAGGGCAGGTTTCGACATGTTGGATCAGACCATTCCCCTGTTAGCCCCCCACCCCACTAGCAATAAAAAAACTGCTGGGCACTTAACCATTCATCTTTAGTAGGAACACCCCAGCAACAAACAAAATATGAACCCCGTGTATTCAACCATAGACCAGAAAGACCTACAGAAGCAATACATCTCACATATTATATGAAATTCATGTTAACCACGGATGATGATACATTCTGCAGTTAGAAGACACCTCATAAGATGATACTGATACTTCACCAATTCAAAAAACTTTACCAGCTGTTCAGCTTAGTTATTTTATTCTACTGTATGCATTTAACAACACTATTCATGCATTAATAACATGACTACTCTAATAAAAACATATGCCATATTCATGGTTAACTAAAGATAAAATTAAACATTTACAGTTCATACTCACACGTATCCTCAGGGGTACGTGGTAGCATAGTTGGTTGAGGCATTACGCTACAAGCCAGGAGGTTGCAGGTTAAAGTCCCGATGAGGTGGATTTCTTCAGTTTACCTAATCCTTCGAGCCACACCATGGCCTGGGGTTGACTTGGCCTCTAACAGAAATGAGTACCAGGAATTTTCCTGAGGGGTAGAGGGCTGCTGGCACATAAGGCTGAAAACCTTACCACCATCTGTGAGTTGACTGTCTAAAGAAAATGTAGCAGCCTCGACATCTCACAATCCTATGGGCCTTCACATCCTGTTACAGGGATAGCTTTTTTTTTTTAAACCTTTTACTCACGTGTACTCATGGTATATGAACATTTTAGTTTATATTATCAACAAGTGTATGAATTTAACTTTTTATCATACTGTTTTAGTAGGAAAATATTTATACCACATATCATAAAACTGCACAATTGAAGTTCTACCAATAGTCATTAAAGCAAATTTGATATTTATTAGTTTTGTAACTATTAAACCCAACAAGAGGCAGAATTTAAATATCCCTAGTATCTGATGGAAATGTGTTGTACTGTGCTGTCATCCCCAATAACAGCATGCAGATATAAACTTTATGATATGCAGTAAAATTTGATTTTGCAGATTCTGACTCGACCACGTCTTCAAGACTTGGTTCGTGAAGTAGATCCAACTGAACAGTTAGATGAAGAAGCAGAGGAACTTCTATTACAGTTGGCTGACGATTTTGTGGAGTCAACAGTGGGTGCTGCTTGTTTGCTTGCCAAGCATAGGAGGGCCTCTACTGTAGATGTCAAGGATGTTCAGCTCCATCTTGGTGTGTTTGGTAACAAATGCTGTATTGTAATGTGGGGAGATGACATACACACAACAGTATTCTAACCCTCAGCTGGGCTTGAAGAATTCCACTGAAAAGTCAAATGTAATGTATGCAAATGACCAAATGATAGCAAAGTACAAAAAACATGGTAGCACTAAATTTGTTAAGAGGATCAAGCTGATTTATACACAACGCTACTACTGTAGTAGTAGTGGTAATGTAACCCAAGGTTCACATGTTCAAACCAGACCAAGGTTGGTGGATTTTCAGTTCATAGCACAACTTGCTTCAGAGTGTCATGCATTTACAGGCTGTAAAAAACCTTCCATTAATGAGAAGAGATGAGTGAAAACAAAATTAGGTGCTATTTTGGTCACCCTCAAAGCGGAGAGCAGGAACAACTTAAAATCACCCAACCCAACTGAAGTATGCTCGATAATTCGATAACATAACTCACTCAAGTGGTGCCCAAATATAAAAACGAAGATACATGAACAAGTTGAGGTTAAAAGCACAAAAACTGTGGTTTTAGTCCGCAAGTGAACTATACTGACTGAGCGACGGCCGCTTGTCGGCGAAGTTAGTGCCAACTTTAGCAGATAGAGGGTGTCGCGTGGTCAGCATAATGAATCCCCATGGCTGTTAATTTCGGTTTTCTAGACAAGAGCAGCTATTTCCTTGAAATAGCTCCTCAATTATCATCACGAGGCTGAGTGGACGCTGTTCCAGACCCACTACTTCTCAGAAAATATCTGGTAGCGCCGGGAATCGAACCTGGACCTCTGGATGTGTAGCCAGAAACTCGACCACTAGACCACAGATGAGGTTGGTTACAAGCACAAATGACTTAATTGTCGAAGTGCAGCATTAGAGACCGACCACCCAACACTGCTACTGCCACCCTCATTTGATAACATTATATATACACCTGCCTTTTAAAATAATGAAGCTGACCAACTAAGAATAATTTCTAATTTCTAACTATTCCATAACTTAAGGGTTTATTTTGATTCTCAGAACATTTATAGGGTCTGAGGTTCTCACAGCGGTGCTTATGAAGAGTACTATCTTCTGGGATATAATGCAGTGAAATCTGTTGAAAGTCAACGGATGAAGCTTGCCACATGCTTTCATGCTGGTTTCTTGCTTGGGTTATTCTTGAACCCCAAAAATGGAGGCGACATTTTCCTCCAAAACATTGGTCGACTTTCAACAGAGTACATGGCATCATATGGTGCAACATGAAGAAAACTCCCAACAATATGATATGTCTCCATGGCAGCATAAGAACCATCAGAAGAGTAAAATGACTTTGAGAATAAACATTTTGTGATCCCTCATATACAATGTCATTTTGATACCCAGTTCAACATTTCCAACAGCACTAAATAAATTTTGAAATCGATCTATGAAAGTTTTATATGGTTCTATTCCATACAGTGAAGTTATACAAATTTTAAAGTATTGTGTGATAAAAGACATTCAGCTTTTAATTGTATCTGATACCACACGATGTGAACAAGCAGTTGTATACTGTACAGAGAAACTCTAATTTAATTGTAGAATTTCTATCTTCTGGAATATGACATCATGTAGTTTTGTGGGTGGGTACCAGCATTACAGAGGCAACAGGTCCTCCAAAATGTACCCATCTACAAAACTACGTGTCATAACATCCTAGAAGACTGTAAGCTTGACAATTACTACAGTGAGAACCTCAAGTCTCATACAGATTTATTTGTTCTTCCTGTTTATTTCAGAGCGAAACTGGAATATGTGGATTCCAGGGTTTGGAACAGATGAACTGCGTCCGTATAAGAGAGCAGCAGTTACTGAAGCTCACAAACAGCGTCTTGCACTAATTCGCAAAGCACTTAAGAAATACTGAATTTTTGTGTCTTTAGGAAATTACTTTTAAAGTCTTATTACACATAAGATGACAAAACAGTGATTAATGTTTTCATCTATGAACTTTATTTTTGCATTGTAAAATATAGTCAAGAGAATGCATCTGATCTTCATAATGTCAAATTTTTGTGTTTCTGGATTTGTTGTGCCGAACAGTGATTGTGAATTAAAAGGATCTGAAACATTCAAAATACTCTCTTGCACTCCTTAGTAAAGCTCTTGACATATAATGTACATAATAAAATAAAATATATTATTACGGTGATATTTCCTTCATTTTTGTCTGTAAAATGTTAAACATTGAGGAGAACATTTAATAATATCCAGAGGAAGAAAGATTGTTTTATAATACCTATCATTGCCATCTTTACTACCCACTGATTCGTTTTCACTCGGTTAAGTTGTTCTATGACACAGCCAACTCCAATGGTCTCTCCCCCGTCATAAGTCCTCTTGTATCTGTATCCAATTAAAAACAACTATTTTGCTACATGATTACCTTTTCAAAAACTTCATATCTTTCAAGAATTCACTAATGCCATCCTGAGAAATATTTTTGTTGGTTGGTTGTACAGCCAAATCTGCATCAATCGTACATTTCATCATGTCAGTACAAAAGTGGATTTCACTGTCACTCTTAGCCCTTTGCATGTTATATTTTTGCCAGGCCTTTCCCTCTTTCTTTCTTGTTGTGTGCTTACATCTGTTTACCCAACATCATATGATGTTGACAGGACAGTAATTGCAGGATGTGCTATGATGACACCAGTAGCATTGAAAGGTTACTAAGTTCACAGATATGGTAGTCATCTCGGTGTTAAATATGGAGTAAGCTGGATTGTAAAGATGTCTGTGGATAGTTCTTTGAATGTTGCAGTTGTCATCAGAAAGGTATGCTGATGCACGTTGCCATACTTCAGGCAGACACCCTTATCAATGCATGTCATCACTGCTTAATGCCTGGCTCCAGGCTTACTTTTAGAATCATATTGCCGCACGTTGCCTATACAGCGTGACAAATAACTTCACGTGGGTCTCGGATTTAGCGAATATTTATTGAACGCTCAGTTTTACACACTCAAGTGCAATTAGTATCACTCTTATTGCTTCTGTGATCCAACNATCTACTGTAATTTGGTGAGTAGGCCTACCTTTAATATACAGTATTAGTGCGGTGTGTATTGTCAGTGAAAAGCGCTGTAATATGTCTTTGATATTACACATTTGGACAATTCCACGTTAATGTTACGTTAGTCTGTACTTAACTACGTATTTCACTAAAAAAATGCAACATTTTAACTCGGTTTTTGGTAGATTTTTACGTGACTAACATAAGGCTACTGTGGAAGTGCCCATTTCGGTTACGACGACATTCGTTTATAGCGACACTATTTTTAGGTCCCTTTGATGACGTTATAACCAAGTTCTACTGTAATTCAGCGAATGCTAGACTTCGACTGTACTCGATGGCGTCTAGCTTCCAACTCTGTCTGTCTGAGTCACAGTTACTTTATGACTGGCGGTTTACCGCCAATCAGTTCATCTTGGCATCAGGCCCCTTGAGGCCCACGACCAAAGATTTTTTTCCACCTTTAAGGTAATAGTCCTTATGTAACATCTTCTCTACGAGAAGATGGGTTTGTCTCTTATGAATACACTTGACCTTTCGTCAAGTGTATATTTCGCACATATAACATGTTTTCGAAAATTCTTCCTTGTGCACTACACACAAGTCCTCTGTCAGTACAGGCTTTACAGAGCAGATCATGCCTAAATTACATTTCTTAAGCTACAACGAAAACTTATGCATTTGAACGGTCGTAAGCTTGACCACCGTCAAATTTAAGCCTCTTATATTTTCTGTGTCTGGCTTCATCTTGTCCTATACCGAGAATATGTTCATTCTCATGATTTTGTATGACTTCTGCTTGTCGTCTGCACAATTTTGTTATATAATCGTATACATACGGAAAGTTGAAAGCCGTGTGCAACTTGCGGACTGGTGTGCATCTTGGAAAATTTACAATGGTGCGCAATACCTTGTTTTGCATGCACTGCAATTTTAGGAGGTAGGTGTCTGCTGCTAATTCCCAGGCGGGAGAGGCGTAAGTCATTACTGACCTGATCAGTGCCTTACAGAGGGATAGTTTAATGTTTGCATTTAAATGCTCACTTCTGAATAGGGAGTAGATTCTAATAAATGTTCTGAAGGTCTTGGCTTCAATCATTTCTATGTGAAGTCTCCATGTAATCCTATTATCGAAGATTATGCCCAGGTATTTTACATGATTGATGAAGGGGATATTCTGCCCATTCAATGTAAGATGAGTCTGAGGGGGCCTAAGTCTATGAGAGAAGTAGATTGCCTGTCTGGTATGTTCAACCCCCTTATATAGGCGTTATTTGAACTCCTTAGTGAACACCGTCAACAGTTCAGTTTCATGTGCTCTACGCTCGTTACCGCGGAAGTGCATTTTTCCTGCTGGTTCAACAATCCGTTGCTTAGGAAATGCATTATTCCACTGTTTCAATACTTTGTTGCTTTGGATATGCAATATTTCCCGTTGTTACACAATGCCTCTACCAATTCGTTGTAACCATGGAGACTCATTGTTAGAATTACGAAATTGCATTGCTTCTGTCCTAGGAATGGGTGCATATTCTGATTGTAGCAGGAACGTGGATCATTGCCTAGGAAGTGACTGTTTGGATATGCACGTTACAATATATTTCACCTTCTGTGGGGTGCTGATAATGTTCCAAAAAACTGACAATATCACTTTTCCAACTGACAATGCAAGTGTAATTTTGTTGTTGGGCTTTGATGATGATGGATGCCACATCTAGCCCACCTAATTTCATGCTGGAAGTGGTGCACCAATTACACACCACCTGTTATGAAAATTATTTTCTTCATAAAGGGTCAGTGAGACATTGTGTGTTGTGACAACTGCTTTATTTCATATATCAACTGATGATGCATTCAGCATGGTCACACTTTGTTGAATCTCTGCTTGTTACATATATCATGGACTGAATTGTCACTCATTTACAGTGCCACATCATCATCATTAGTAATCTGTCAGATGACAGGTCCACAGTCTCTTCCAAAACAATTCCTCCACTTAATGCGATCTAGAGCTTTCTCCTTCAAATGACAGTATCCTCTTCTGTCCCCAAGGTCATCCAGCATCTTCTTACGTCTTCTTGTCACTTCATCCGACCCTCTCTTTCCTTCAATAACTTCTTTTAGAAGGCAGTTTCTGCGTAAAACATGACCAATCCAATTAGCCTTCCGTTTTCTTATTTCGTGTAGGATATTCCTCTGCTTACTGACTCTAATTAACACTTCTTCATTTCTCACATAATCGGTCCAACTGATCTTCTCCATCCTTCTCCAACACCACATTTTGAAACTTTCCAGATGTTTCTGATCTACTGCCCTAAGTGTCCATGTTTCAGCCCCATACAGAGCTATGCTCCAAATGTAGCATTTCACTAGTTTCTTCCTCAAATTTAAGTCCAATTTGCTGGTAAAAAGATTCTTCTTCTTGCTGAATGCAGCTTTTGCCATGGCAATCCTGGATTTAATTTCACTAGTACACCTTCCATCATCTGTTAACAAGCTACCCAAATATTTAAAACATTTCACATTCTCCAGTTGTTTTTGGTCTAACAGTGCCACAATGAGGCTATACAAGTTATTCTATGATTTTCCCAAATTTTTCATTCTGCTTCTACAATGCTGTCAGGATGATCATGTGGTTCGCTTAGCCTTGCTGTTGAGCATCATCCAACTTCTGTATTCTGTTTTAATGAACTTTGGGTAATGCTTACTATCATTCAGTTTGGAACATATATAATTTTGCCTGTAGTTTTGTATAGGCATGAAACTTGGTCCCTAACATTAAGGGAAAAATACAGACCGAAGGTATTTAGAAAAGGGTGCTGAGGAGAATATCTGGTCCAAAGAGGGATGAAATGGTAGGTGGCTGGACTAAAGGAATGATACAGAATTTTGGTTGGAAAGTCAGAAGAAAAGAAACCGCCAGGAAGACCCAGGCATAGGTGTCGGGGGGGGATATTAAAATGGAGCTTAGTAAAATAAGATGCGACAGTATGGGCTAGATACATTTAGTTCAGGAAAGGGATCAGTGGAGGGCTCTTGTGAACATGAAAATGAACCTTTGAGCTCCGTAAGATGTTGGGAAATTCTTGAGAAGCTGAGCAACCGGTGGCTTCCCAAGGACTCAGCTACATGAAGTTGGTTAACCCTTCATTCCCAATGTTATCGGCCATCAGGCATGCTGATTCAACGGCAAAATGCGTATAAGCCACCATGCGTCACCATGAAGCACAGAGCCTTGAAGCGGTCAACAAAGTTAAAAACTCTCAGTATGTGTGTACTTTTTTCTTTGGTCAGAGAGAGACACAAAGAAGAGCATAAGCCTGCCATATGTTGATAAGATGGAATACTGGTACAATCTGAATGCAAAATTCAAAATGTCTCAGAGACATGGTACATCTGTTTGGAGAGAGTGGCTGATCATGACATGGCCATGGTTAGTTGATATCAGCTTCAGTTGTATTCCCAGAACACTTCTGTGATTCACTCTCTTCCTACTCAGTACACCATAGAAAAATTTTGGGTTCACTGTGCTTATTATATACTAATGTTTCTCTGGGCTGTGTGACAGATGTTATGCACAAGTTTGTATTTTTTTCTCAGAAAACAGCAGCATCATACAACATAATTCAACATAGCTTTCTAGATGCAGTACTTATACATTTGTACCTTTGGGAACACAAAGTTTTAAGGTGTCATTGATGGGGTGTCAATCTTACCTTCAAGTGGTGCAGTCTGCTTCTTTATATACAAAGCTTTGTTTCCAAGCTGATCACTACAACACAGTATCATCCCATCTGGTACATAGGAAACACCACTTCAGAAATTTAGGTTAAGTTTCAGTGGATGGATAGATTCCTTATTAAGTGTTCACTTTATATAAAACTGAGATAAAATAAGAATTTTATGTTGAAGAAATGTAACATCTCTGTTATAAAGATGAGTTTAGGAAATTATTCCTGTTTGTTCTGAGAGTCAAATGAAATTCATGAACTCTGCAAACCGAAATGCCACGCAGCATGCTCCTGCTCCATCATACTGAACATTCCAATTGTAAAACAGGGCTTGAGATGCTCCATAAATATATATAAACAATTGTGTTATTAAACGATTTTATTGAGATTAACAATATTTATCACTAACAAACCAATATTAAGAAGTCCTGGAATGTTCAGCGCTTTTTCCAAGTGTATTTCTTCCTGGCACCAGCTTGACCCGGCTTCTTCCGCTCGTGCTTCCTATAGTCACGCTGTAAAAGCCCAGCTGGAATTTCACAAATAAAAACATACTTTGCATATACAGTATGTCAAAGAATCTGGCTGATCATACTGATCTTCCCTGTGAGTTGCTGACCTCACTGCTGACAGGGAGGATCCAGATGGGAGAAACGTCAAAACTGGGTTGGCTGACTGGATTGGTTAAGCATGCCATATGGGCCAATTCCTTGCATTTACTGTACCCGCTGTCACTTCACCCAAGCCCACACTATGACCCTCTTCACACACATACACAGTAATATAAAGGCTGTTGCTAGGCAATGGCCATCTCATCTGTCTATTGGGTATTACAGTTAGTGTTCCCTCTTTGGTCTGCCTTGATGTATTAGGCAGATGTTCAAAACACCATATTTCAGTCTATCCTGTGGAGGTGGGGTCAAATACCTTCACCGAAGCCCTACAAGTCGAAGGAGGTGACAAAAAGGGAACCCAATGGCCAGGGATATAACCAGGCCACCCTTTTCTGGGGGATATAAATATGGGGACTTGGCATGCCAGGTTGGGGGAATCTCAAATCTGAGATGGAAAAATGTGTTCATCAGTCCCATGGAACCTGAACCTGAGAATGACTGTGCTGGCAATTATAAATGACATACCCATACTCTCGTCTGAGGGGTTGTTACATAACGACTATAAAAGCAAATGTTTGGCTGGAAAATAAAATTATTAGTCATGAGTCCCAAGGTGGTTGTCACCAAGAGGAAATGGCGGTAAACCACCAGTCGTAAAGTGACTCTGACTCTGAATATTCAGTCTCTGTCTGAGAGGGAGGAATAGGAGGTCCACTGCTTTGTTCAGTCAGAGCACATACATGGAAAGGCCGATCCCTTCTCTCGTCAAGAGGAGGCCCCGTTGCCTAGCAGCAATAGATGGAGACAAAGAGTCAGAACATGGCATAAGCCTACTTAAGAAAGCAGGCTAAAAATGGCAATTATAATAGTGCAGTATGTAACAGATATAAAGAAAATACAAAATACCTCCCGCTGAGGTGGATTTTTCAATTTACCTAATCCTTCCACTCGCACTATGGCCCTGGGGTCAACTCAGCCTTTAACAGAAATGAGTACCAGGAATCTTCCTGGGGTGCAAAGGGCGCCCTGTGTGTAAGGCTGACAACCTCACCACCATTTGTGAGCCGACTGTCTAGAGAAAATGTGGGGGCCTCAACATCTCACAATCCTATGGGCCTTCATGGCCTGTTACAGGGATAGCTTTACCTTTTACATAATAATACAAGTGAAATTCTTGAACGTGTACTTTTTTAAATGAAGACGATAATAAATAACATTAGCTGACAGATGTATTAGCAGCACAAATTTAACAAGATGGCAAAGACCTATGATAAGAGAGCAGGACTGAACTAGGTCTCACTGGTGTTATCACACTTGGTAAATTACTGTTAGATATGTAGAAATGCACATAAATTCAAAATGTCATGGTACACTTGGACTGAGAAACACCAGTGTAGCGGTCATGTTTGGGAGGTCCCACATCTGAACCTTGGATCATGAGCTAGTTTCCTAGCTGAATACTTTATAATTCTCCACACTTCAAAAAAATGCTGGGATATCAGCCTAAAATAACCCAAAATCATTTAATTACTTTCCTTTATCTCACAGAGACATTTTGTCTGTAATATTATCACTGCTACTAGGTGACCCAGAGTCATTAAGATTGCTGATGAGTAATGGAGATAATCCAACAAAGTTAAATTAAGAAATGCATACATACACATTGTAAATATTATTTCTCCCTGTTATGACTTGACATGACCATACTGATGTTCCTCACCTCTGCCCTGGTAATGGTGGAGCCCAATTCTAGGTGAGAGCAACCATGAAATGAAGTTTGTTACTCTAATGGTAAAATGACAGCTCATGGAGGGTACCTGTACTTCAGCATGGGCTTTAAACTGTTGTGTAAGTTTTGACTTTGGCAGAGGCAAAGCCACACAGATAAATCCACAGTGGATCTGATCAATCCTGAATCTAAGAACTTTACAGAAGTTCAGTCCCAGACAAGTCCTAAAAATGCACACGAACAAAGCTGACATGCACTGGCAGATGACTTCTAGAATTATAGTTATATCGTGGTAAGCAACAATGACTTATGAAATCATAAGGAACTGGCATATTCAAGGTTATTTTATCGAATGAAAAGGTGGTGATCATTAATATAACCAAACAGGCTGGCATAGCAGTACTGCTCTACATTTGTATTTGGGAACTGCGTGGTTGGAATCTTGGATGGGATACCTGCTCTCATGAAATTTTTCATCATTTTCCCCAGCCTCTCAAGGCATGTGCCAGGACAGTTATCTCAATCAGGCCACCACTGTTTCCATCCAAATCCTTTCCAATTCATGTCACTCTGCCATTGAATACTATACAGTCTAGCTACTAAGAGCACCATAAAATAACCAACAAAGAAGAAATCATTAACACCATAAAATTAAGCTTACCAATTCTCATTTTCTCAACCATGTCCTGCGTTACAAAGCTGCGAAGTCCATGAGCTATCCCCCATCTGATAGCTCCAGACTGTCCCGAAGGCCCTCCACCAGCCACAGTTGCCTCCACATCCACAGAACCAATCATGTTTGTAAAGATGAGAGGAAATAACAGCTGCAATAAAGGCAATGTGTCAAAATGAAAATGAGCTTCATAAGAAGGGTTAAATTCAGGATATGCCTTGCAATACAAAAATTCATGAAGTTTCAAGAAAATTACATTATAATTGTAATGTGTATAAAGTTTTCACCTGGCTAGAGAATAAGACATAAACAAGATTAAGAATCTCTACTGGGTTCAATTACATATCAATTTTGATGAAAATTAGGCTTCAGTTCCAGAAATTATTTCAGGTTGATACATGTGGATAGGATATATGGCTACAGAAAAGACAGGAAATGTTACTTTGCAATTAACCATTTTAATTATGAAANATATATATATATGGACTGGATTCATCTGCCTCAGGACAAAGTCCAATGGCAATGAATCTTCAGGTTCCATGAAGAGTGCAAAATTTCTTCATAAACTGAGTGACTGAGCTATTCAAGGAGGATACTGCTCCATAAAATACACTAGTTCGATAGGAGGTTCATCATTATGCTTACTACACCCAGCCAGTGGAACCAATTCTGTGCCAACTGAATAACCTACATCCATTATAATGGACTATATAATGCCCGTATGCAAGAAAACCTCAATTTAATTCTTATTTTCAATTTCAGGTTCTCATTTTTCATTTCCTACCATATTAAAGCCTGTTACTCAATGAAAAATAGCATATGCCCATAGAAATATTTCTGTAAACATTTAATACACTAAGGAGACATATCTGAAAAATAATAAATAATTCTTGTCTAGAGAAATTGTAACTTTTTATTCTGTTACATCGTAAAAAAAGCAAATAAGATGTATAAACAAGTGAAAAGTGGTAAAAAATACTCTTCAACTATATCAACATATATTCAATCAAATATGAGCAATAAATGAGCATGTTCACTATTTAAAACAAAATAAGCAAACAATATACAAAAAGTTAAAAATAAATAAATGACACACATCTGTTGGACCAAATGTGACAGTACATCATATATGGTTAATATTAATCAACTATAAGCTGCTAAATGTCAAATACCACAGATCAGCCTCTTCTGTGTCACTGCATGATAAACACTGTATTCCACCAGTACCTTTCAAAAACACACAATGCCATAAATATGAAATGGCATATACTAGTATCTCTTCACCACAGCATTCACAATGCTCCAGGGATCACTCAGATATATATTTTATTGTTACGTAAGTCATATTTTTCAGGAGTACCAGTGGCTGAAGAACAATATGTTCATTTTGTGCTGAGGTTAAGAATATGTGGAAATTTACACTGTCCCCTACACAGTATCATGGAACATTACTTACTTCTGTGCCCAATCACTAGCCCATCAGGATGTATCAGAAAACAGAAGTGTTATACAAGCTTTTTGTTTTACCATACCTCCATGTTCATGATTTCTATTGCTAGAAAGCTACAAATAGCTTAAGTTATCTAGAAAAGAGGGATATTTATTTAGCATCTTCTGAAACACAAAATAATTTCAGACTACAAGGGCCAGTGCTTCTAAACTAGTCATCTCACATGTAGTACAGAATGGTTTAATGAAACATATACTAGTACCATCAGGACAGCTAATTTCAATAACCTGTACATCCTATATTTCTGTACATTAAGTGCAGCAATGGATATTAACTTCAGTTTATCAGTGTACTTAAAGTTTTAACAGTCACTATTTTTCTTGTTCAACAGATCAAACATCTGACTTAACAAAGTCAGATTTGACCTTGTGGCTTCCCTAAGATCTTGTACTTCATCTGTTAATTTAGCTATTGCCTTTGATCCCTCCTCTATTCTCTGGAACAGCAAATGAATATTTGACAGTTCACACGTCTGCGGAAAATTCTTCTTCTGATCCACATGAAATGAAGACCCACGAGATGTTGTGAAGCTAGAAGAAACTGTACTGTGGGATCCTCGAGAGGACACCGTATGACCAAATTGTCTTCTCAGTTTCGCTGTTTCATAAGCTGCCATTAGAACATTTTTTGGTAGTCTTTTTTCTCGAGGATTGAGTGGTTTCACTTGTATTACAACCCTGTATGCAGAAGGTGACACTAGTGCTGTCCACTGAAGAATTCTAATTACATACTGTGGCAAGAAGCCATCAAATAATGCAGACTCTATATATGAAATCATTTCTGTCTGACGTACTAGTTTCAAGAGCCCTGCTGTCTTCTGAAGCCCTTGGATATCATGCACAGCAATTCCTACAAGCAAGTTCATCAATATAACAGTAACAAACAAAAGAAAGACAACAAACACAACATGACCACTGAACTCCAAAAGAAATGCTGGTTTCTTTTCTTCATCTTTTCCTAATATCATATCTTCAAATTCTAATTCACCAGTCATCATAACAAGGACCTTCATGAACCCTACAAGTGGATTTCTAAAGGCATCTGACATGGGGAAAATAACACAAAATGAGATTGTGAATCCAATCAAGAGGCAGAGGTATGCTGCAAAGAGTTTTGCAAATTCTTTCTGCACACTGGTGTACATAGCCACATAAGAACCCAACACAGGCAGCTGTCCAATCATAACCATGAGATTTACCCAACCCAGAAGAACAGCAAAGGCTCCTACATGATTCTGCCAGGTGTATGTTCTCCCTGTATAGATGCACGATATCACAAAAACACTAACAATCACAAACCATTCAATAGCATTCTCCATCTGTAACAGATACTGTTTCAAAGACGAATATGCTGCAAAACCAATGAACTTACGTAAGCACTCACATACAGTGAAGAATACAAGGACATACCATGTAACTTCAGTCACTAAATAATTCCTTCTAAGAAATTCTGCCATCACAGACTTGTCCAGACATAACTGTGTCTCACTGTCTGTTATCAGGGTGGCATTACTTGCAGCCCTGCCACTGTTATAACAGTTATGTGCCAGAGCCATCAGAACATAGGCAGACAGACACAAAACGAAGATTCCATAGAACAGAAGCCTGGCAACATAGTATTTACGTATTTTCTCCCATTTCAGGTAAAGAAATGCTTCACACAATGGATGCTCAAGAATATCCTTTTGACCTGCATCTACAAACGTCTTCAAAAAGCTTATTTCTCCCTTGTCACAATTCTGTAGTAGGAATCGAAAATCAAGTTTAACTTCTACTTCCCTATTAGATGCTTCTGGATCACTTAATGATATTGCAGAGTCTAATTTCTGGTACAACATGGCCAGTGATGCCGGAGTTTTGCGGATAATAATGCTGAGTGCTGAAGTGCCACCCTTAGTTTTGGCACTGACATTTGCACCATGGTATAGCAGTGTCTCTACACACTTATACTGCTCATTCAGGGCAGCAATGTGAAGTGGTGTATAACCATATTTGTCTTTTTGGTTCACTTCAGCTTTCCACATTAATAACAGCTCAGTAATTTCATATGCCAGCAAAGATTTTGCAACCGCTGCATGAAGTGGTGACCGCATATCATTATCCACAGCATTTGAATCACAAGCTCCAGTATCCAATAACATTTCAACACACTCTACTGATTGAGCACGAGCTGCCAAGTGCAATGCTGTTTGCCCCTTGTAGTTTCTCGCATCTGCATTGGCACCTTTACACAGTAATAATGAGATACATTCACTGAAACCCCCTTCTGCAGCAAGATGTAATGCTGTGTTCTTCTTATCACGAGTAACCAAGTGGGGATCAACTCCAAAATCAAGCAGAATCTTCAGTGGATGTATATGTCCCAATTCAGCAGCCAAATGCAGCGGTGAAACTCCTCCAGGCTCAACTGAGTTGATATCAGAACATTCTGCTAACAGCAGTGTGACACATTCAATGGCATTTGCTTTTACTGCAGAGTGTAAAGCAGTCCCATAAATGAAGTCATCATTGCCTTTTGTTTTTCCAGTAACTTCCAACTTTGCACCATTCTTCAGGAGGAACTTTAGAACTTCAAAAGAATTACCAAATGCTGCACTGTGGAGTGGAGTAAACCACTTGGGGGCCAAATTAATATTAGCACCATTTGAGATAAGAAATTCTGAACAGTCAACAGAACCAGTGAAAGCGCTAAGGTGAAGCGCTGTAAACCCTTCACTAGGTTCACTGAAATTTATGTCAACTCCCATGGGAAACAGAAACTGAAGGAAATCCAGTCGTTTAACAAAAGCTGCCCACAGGAATGTAACATTTCTTTCCATTCTGCTACTATTCTTCATTAATGGCACTACATCTTCAATGGACACTTTTCCAGCCTCAATATCTTCCAGGCAATGAGCAATAACTGTATTAGCATTGGATCTCATGAGGTCTAGAAGGCCTTGCCTTACAGTGTTTCTGCATATTCTCACGCTAATTACTTCATTTCCAATATCCTCAAAGCTATCGAACAGTACTATGTCATCTGCAGGTGGAGACTCCCCCCGCTTCATGACGTGGCACTCGTCTTCTTCCACACATACATCTCTCCTGTAGCTCTTCCACCTACCCAGAAGTCTGGGTGACACTGTCTTGTATTTTGGAAGAGCTGTTAGAGGTATCCTCTGGGCATCCATGCTCACAGCTCGAGCCAATGTTACTTTTTTCTTTTCCAGTGGCCTTTTATGCATATTCTTTTCTAGATCCTCCATGGTGACATCCATACTCACAGCTTGAGCCAATGTTACTTTTTTCTTTTCCATTGGCTTTTTATGCACATTCTTTTCTAGATCCCCCATGGCGAACTATACCATAACGCTGATTCCATTCAAGCGCAGTGCCCACCTGAAAAGAGAAATAAAGTACTGTCATTGCCCACTATGTCATTAATTTCTACACATAATATTTCATATATAGTGTATAATGTAGCAATTTTGAATGCAGTCACCAGCTCCTGTGAATGTTAAGAAATGTCAGACATAACCAGATATACGTTATTGCTGGAGTCTGTCTGTATTTTGGGATTTTTTCGCTGTATATCATGGATAAATCCGGGGAAAAAGTGACAATTCCGAAACCAAATGCCTTTCAAACATTTCGTTTGCACGTTTCTAACGCTCCACGAACATTTAGGAACAATAACTTTTTAATGTTTAAAACTCACGGCCATACCTTTTTTTTTTCTTTCTGTTCAATTTACATACTCAGTGCAATTTTCCTGTTCAAGAAATCAGGCACAGAAATGTCTTCTTTTTCATGAATGCATCAACAGTAAGCGCGTGCTGAAGGACCGCTGATCTATATTACGATAGTATTTCATCTAGACAAGCTTTATTTTCTAGAACTCAGCGCAATAATAAAATTAAGAAGTACCATAAACACAAACTTCTGAGCGCACAGTAACAAAACTATACAACACGTGTGTGCACATAAAGCGTCCGTGTCGTACATACAGCACAACCTTCTACGCTGGTCAATTCTGAACTAGCAGCGAACTCAAAGCCGGTTTCTCTCTTCAGGTACGCCGTATAGCTTCACATGACCCGCCTCTGATCCGTGACGTACTTCTTCATCATACTTCTCTCAGAAAACATCATAACCATCACCACGATCATGACTGCTCCTACAGCTACACACACAAGGTCACTGCAAATGAAGCACATCGCAAAACACAGCTCTCACGCGGAACGCTTTACCGCTGACGTTTGCAAAAGCTCGACTATCCGGTGGCATTTCAAATCTTTACACAAAGATTTACATAAACGTTTCAGTGGTATTCTAGGTGCATGTTCAAGTCTGGTCCCTAGGTCATCTAATTTCTCAGCAGGCACTTGGCGCTTAAGAGTCCGGTTGTTCTATGTTTATTCACCAATGAACAGCCTGCTGGGAACTCTTTCATCACAAAATTTACGTCGAAATTTCCAGCAGATCCGTATTTCACGTAGGTGTCATATAGATATACACATTGCTCTAACGTATGGCGAACCAAATCGTCGCGCACTGCTGTTAACTGCGAACAAATGGCTGATAACAGCTGCCTACTGCTGACAAATCATAAATAAACTCCCATGCATGAACCCCACTGCCCGCAGTGTAACATAATACTCTGTAGACGTCTAGACGTTAATTACGTATTATCCAAACATTATCGGTCATCAAGCATGCTTAGTCATCGGCAAAATTAGCATGCGCTTCGCGGCCGGCAATGGACCGGTTGCGGTGAAGCGCAGGGCCGTGGACAAAGGAACGGCGCATATGTCGGGACGTTGTGAATAAGCAGGAAAAGCTTACAGGAGCAAAAACTTCTTGTGCATGAAGAAGTACAAACCGAAGGCATAAATCGGATAAATATGTATTGATGAGTAGTCCTTCATAAAAAAAACGAATAAATGAAGTTCTTGATAGGATCAGCCGAACTTCACTTACGAGCTCATATTAGAAGCGATGATATCAGTCCGTTATGTTAACGACATTCAGAGTTAGCATACTAATAAACGGAAACCTCCAGTGGAAAAAATGAACAAGCTCAGCCTCCCAAAAGCAAGCTTCATAACGTATAAGCACAGTGTGAGGGAAACATTCATTGAGAATATCAAGAAAAAGGTTCAGTTATGAACTCAAAACGGGGCCTTAAAGGAGGAGGAAGAAGGGTTTCAAGGTCTCACAAAAGTAACGACATGCAAGTACAACGCTACTTAAAATCATCATTTTGATTAGGCCTACGAGTACGTGTATATACCATACAACGATTCGACAGTTCTGCTCTCATGAATAATTTGTATTGATTCAACATAAATTTCAAATAGTGGGAGAAAAAATCGAATATTACACATCAGTAAAACTTAATATTTCGTAATGAAGGGCGGTTGTAACGGAGGCGGTGTGGGAGTAAGAAAAAAATCAGACGAATAAAACTCTACATTTAAAAAAAACCTCCTAACAGACCAGATCTCGCTCCGGACAACGCACATAACTATACCGTACGCGAATACACGTAACTTGTGCGTATACGCGTGTACATCTGCGTGTACGTCTGCGTGTACGTATACGCGTGTACGTCTGCGTGTGTCTATGTTGTCTCAGGTAGGTAAGAGGCATCGAAAACGGGCTAATTCGCATCCCAAATACCTTAAGGACCACTACTTCAGAATCAAATCTGAATTCGAACAGGCCCTAATACATGACAGGCCTAGCCAAAGGAGCAGAACATACTGGATATGCTGCCTATCGCACAACATAACACTTTGTTATTAAATGTAATTGTGAAACTCTGAAGCACGTGTGAAGCTCCTCCCATGAGTCATTACTGTCCAGAATGCAAGTGGGAGGCAAGTTGTCTGTATTTCCCCTACATCATAACTACTGTCCAGGTCAACTTCGTCAGCTAGAAAATTAACATTCCGATATGATGATCGCATGCCGGCGGTAGCAGAGCAGCTGTAGAAACAGCCTAAATACACACTCCAGGCCCTCGAGACTGAATGAATTTATCTCTATACTCAAAGCGGAGGTTATGAAGATCCCATCATATAACGCCATGTAGGGGTCAACATGTTTCCCAGAAACGCCCGTTGACTTTCAAAGGATTACACCGCGATATACCCAAAAGACAGAACTCTTCATAAACACCGCTGTGAGAACCTCAAATTCTTCACTCTTTTATTTTGTCCGTGAAATCATTTTTTAATTTCTCAAATGCTTAAAAATTATGCAGATAACATAACAGCTTAGCATAATAATCTACTATTACACAACTGTACTTCTTTTGGCTTGTTTTGGACTTCATCCATCATCTGGTATGTAAAAGACAAAAGATCAGGACGTTTCGGAGACTGGATCTGTCTCCGTCTTCAGGTGGGTAGGGAAGGATAAACCTACTCAGTTGGGCCCGTTAGAAAGAACTAGTCTCAATCACTGGGCAAACCCCGGTCTGTAGAAAACCTACGAACACCCGACAACCGGTTCCATCTGTAGGAGATATGAATAAAATCACAGTAAAAGACATGACAGAGGTCCAAAACAAACCAAAAGTACAGTATACACCATCGTCAGAATCCTTTCAAGTTTATATTACACAACTGTTTACGAATAACGCAAACAATCTAACACTGATTCTGCCCATAATATCTACAGAAAAAAAAACTATATTCGTAATATTAATTTTGGTATGTCGGTATGACATAAGAAGTGACCGTACGCAACCTAGCGCTATCCCAGTAAAAAATATTCGAATATAACCAACCCTACTTTATATTCCCCCCTCAATGTTTCGGAAAGTAAATAATTTCTGCGGTGTATTTCCTATGTCAAACATGAAACAACACATTTTCGAAGGCTGCCGTGGGTCGTACTCAACCCAGATGTTATTTTCGGGTTCTTTACTTCCGCCGGATAATGTTGCTACCTCACACCATCCGTCCAATACTCAACGATTACCAGTTACATAAACCGGTTTGCGAAGGTCACATGTTGTTAGTGAAAAGCATGGCTACCAAAAAGAATGCCGGGACTTCACACACCTGCAGCTTAGGAACGAAAATAGATATGAGGTTGTTACTTGCAGTATTTTATTCATAAACAGAAACTGGTTTTACACACGGGTACAACAGATTTAGGGGGACAACACATCACAATGAGAGCCATCTGGATTTCTGCATACATCCCGTCCACAGTTCACCTCCTGCCACTGGCGCTGTACCATGTGCTTTTCAACATTCGCAAATGCTGCAGTGGTCCGTGCTTTGAGTTAATCCAGGGTGTTCACTCTTTGGCTCTACACCTGGTAAGTCACTATCCCCAAAGAAAGAAGTCCGAAGGCGTGAGAACGATAGGGCCATGCAATTGGTGCTCCTCCTCCTTTCCATCGACTTGTAACACTCACGAACGTCAGCAAGATGAACAGGTGCATCGGATAGTCGAAGAATAAGATTGTCGCTGCTGCTGACCTGCGGAAGGATATATTTTTCCAACAAGTCTGAGAATGAATAGACCGCCTCTGTGGTCTAGTGGTCAGAGTTCCTGCCTACAGATCCAGAGGTCCGGGTTTGATTCCCGGCGGTACCAGATTTTCTGAGAAGTGCTGGGTCTGGAACGGGGTCCTCTCAGCCTCATGGGCATAACTTAGGAGCTATTTCAAGGAAATATCAGCTCCGGTCTAGAAAACAGAAATTAACGGCCGTGGGGATCCGTTGCGCTGACCACATGACACCCTCTATCCGCTAAAGTTGACACTAACTTCTCCGACAAGCGGCGGTCGCTCGGTCGGTATAGTTCGCTTGCGGACTCAAGCTACGGAGTATGGTTTTCCTCTAAAAATGAATTGCTTGTAATGATGGCCTCGTGTGTCAGCGCATACCACACTTTCACTTTATAACTATCCCGTTCATGCTTCGAATGTTCTCTCGTNATTGGTGGAATGAAGATTGGCAAAAGGAAACCGAAGTACTCGGAGAAAACCCGCCCCGGTGCCACTTTGTCCACCACAGATCCCACTTAATCAGACCCGGGATCGAACCCGGGCCGCCGCGGTGGGAAACCAGCAACTAGCTGCTTGAGCTATGGCGCGGCCATCACGTGCTATAAGTTCCTAAAGTACCCGCAATTAGTACGGCTGTAGACGAAGAGTCTTCTAAAGAATTCTGTGGACAGTCACTTAGGGCATCTGTAACTTCTACACTTGCTCGGGAGATCCAACACCGTATGAAACCCTGCCTATTACGATCCAGATCTTCATCAGATCTCCTACTCTGCCCCGTAGAATGTCCTTCTAAATTGCTCACGCCATCTCCTACAGCTCTTGTCATCAAGTGGTCTTGCATCATACGTACAGATATATGTTTAACCGAGTGAAAGTTCGGCCACACAGAGTGCTACGTACGCGACGAACGCTACGTACGCTATGTTCGCTATACGAACAGAAAAATATCTCCCTTTATTGCCAATGTGACTGGCCACACAGACTTCCGTACGCTACGTACGCTATGTTCCCTATGTTAGCTGCGTCGCAGAGTGTACACAGCGTCGTAGCGAACATAACGTAGCGCTCTGTGTGGCCGAACCTTAATGGATTCAAATTTTTCGTACCACATCAGTCTATGCTTTCTGTTGTGCCGGAGACATTGTACTGATCGGGCACAACACGAAATCAAAGCTGCTGTCCGTTAACTATAGTTGGGATGAGCACGCTACTTGTGTCAGTGAAACTGTTTATGTTACACTGTAAATACCAACAGCTGTCATATCTGTTTTCGTTCCGGGGTCTGAATACTTGGCATTCTTTTTGGCAGACCCTGTATGAGCAAATGCTTAAATATGCACATATCACATGATTTGCCATATGTATCGAGTTTCCACCCATATAACAAGCACTTATATACTTAAATTCTACACATTTTTAAATGCAATTATAATTAATATTCAAATTAACTGTTAAATGATATGATTTCATTGTTATTCTTATATCATCGAGTAACTAATTCCATGGAGCCTAGTCTCTCTTGAGAAGCCAACATTTTATTGCACCTGAAGGTTCATTACCATGTTCCCTGTCCTGAGCCAGATCAATCCAGTCCATATCACCCCATCCTATATCTTTAAGATCCATCTTAATATTATCCTCCCACCTATGTCCAAGTTTTCCTAGTGGTCTCCTTCCTTCCGGCCTTAACCAGCAAAATCTTGCATGTATTATTCTTCTTCTCTGCTTTCCATGGGGTTAAAGTGGCCGAGGGGCGAAGCTTATCACTCACCTCCAACTGGTGTCGGGGTGAGAACGTGATGTATACATCCACTCCCCAACAGGCCTTCATGGTACAGTGCTTATTTGCGTACGCACAGGGACTCACCTCCAGCTAGTGCCGAGGTCAAGAAAATGTGGTTCTATACATCTACTCCCCCATGTGCCTTAATTCGTTAAGCACAGGGACTTCACCTTCGCCTGCGGCCTCCTGAAGTTGTAGGTAGAAGGCTCCTCCCAAGTTCCTACCAGACTATATGACGTAAGGTTCCAGA